GCTACACGTGTTTCTAGTGGGACTATGTTTACAAGCACAAGAGTTCAGCGAGCCACCGAAGGACCGCCCTGCAGATTTACTATTGGTTCTGCAACGTAGGGAGTTTTTTTAAACTCTGAAATTGTATCCGCCCATCTAAACACAAAATCAGGGAGAAAGTCATCAGTCTTTAGTTAAGCAAAGCGTCTAAAGACTGACTTGTGAGTCTACTGTCTTGAATAAAGCAATCTTTCAGTTGATTTTGCCACAAATATGCAAATGAGTCATGAGATCAGCACCTCTGTAGACCTGATGTAAGCCAGGAAACATCCTGCTTTTTCATTCAGCTCTCCGGCTCCGATTCTCTGACCAGTCTGCCGATTCAAACTGGCAGCCTTCTGCTTCAAACCATGCTCCAATCTTGTGTCCAGCATCTCACCAGCTGGTTTGTCTCAGCGACTGGCCAGTGGTTGTTCTTTGTCTTCATTAGCAGGAAATATCCGTACCTAGAGAGATACGAACAAAGTGAAGATAAAATATTTGTTCTGTCTCAGCCAAGCCCTGTACAAATCGTCAGGGAGCAGTAAAATCTCCAGCCTCTGGCTCAGAGAGAAAACGCTGCTGCAGGCTACTAGAGCTGCTAATTACTCATCAGAATTCCTCTCCTCCCAGAGATCCTGGCGCAGCGCCGGTGGAGAAGAAGAAGAAGGGAAAGAGGAGAAACCAGGAGCTGGCTGTCCAGGAGGGGGCGGAGAGTGACGACACTACCTCAATGTCAGCCCTCAACATGGGTGGAGAGGACAGCCAAGACCCCCTGGATAACGCGGTGAGTGGACAGAAAGACACTGGGCTAAGTGGAATGACTGGTGTAAATATACTTTATTATTTAGACGTGTGGTGACTTTTTAACTTGTTAATAGACTTTAGTTTTTCATGTGATTGTTGTGAAGAAATTGGAGCATTGCAACAAGAATGAAATGTCGAGAGATCAATTCTGACATGTTGTGACAAGTAGAAACATCCTCTGTGCGACAGGAAGCAGATGGAGTTTTGGGAATTTCAGCCTTTAAAACTGGCAAGACATTCTTGCTGTGGTTTAGGAAGTGTTCAGATCCTTTAAAGCACTAAAAGCACTATCAGCACTCTGTGTAAATACTCCACTACAAGTACAATTCTGTCATTCAAAACCTTACTGAAGTAAAAGTGTGTATTATCATCAGAATGCTCTTAATGTAGTTAATGTAGTAAAATTACTCATTAGGCCTGCCCCCGACTAAGAATATTCCTAGTCGACCAATAGTCGTCATTTAAGGCCATTACCCCACTAGTCGCCTACATGTTTACAATATTAATTTAACGATTAAATGATATATTTTTGTGGTTTGAGTTGAAGGTGTGAGAAAGAATAGTATCAGTAACATTGTTAACACTGTGCTACATTACAGAGAAATACAAAACTGTACTAATGAACCTTCATTAATATAGGCCTATATTTTATCTCCAAGTGCACGTCACACACTGAGCGAGCCGCCTGTTAATGACGCTGTGGGCTAATGGGCATGTAGCTACTTCCATGTTTCAGATGATACGTCATGTTTGTAGTCGACCAATGAAGATGAGTTTACATATCACCTTGGGTTCGTCCTTCACCTTCTCAAAATGATCCCACACTTTGGATTTCCTGCCCGACATGTTATTAACTAGCCTGTGGAATACCCGCAGGTACCAGCCCTGGAAATTAACCTGACTCCTGTCTGACTGCTGAGCGTGGACACTTCCTGTGTCTGTCCTTTCAAATTAAATTCCCACATGGTCCAGTCATATAGGTTTGGATTTATTTTGACAAGGCACAGCTCCTAATAGAGTGACCAATGAAATCTTGCCAACTAATGACCTTTCTGTTCAACTAATGTGTGGTCAACCATTTGGGGGCAGCCCTAGTAATTATTACTTTTGCGAACCTCAAAGTAGAAATTATTTTATTCCGTTTTTTCTCAGCACTCTTTCCATGTGGCTGTGTTTCAGCTTTTACAGCTATCTCTCATGTTCTTCCGCATCCTGCAGCAGGAAGTCTCCTCTTTCCTCACAGTGGTGTCTTTGTCTTTCCCATGACTTAAGGCCATTTGATGTCTCTCTGGCCTCTCAAGGAAGTGTTGTTCTGAGAGATCATTACAGGTGTCTGTACAGGTGAACCTGTTCAGCCAGTCTTCACTCTAAGGTGCCCCTGTTAAACTGAAAAGCGCAGCACACAGTGGACGCCTAGTTACAAAATTCAGAGGTGCATGACTAATCGCCATGTCAACTCTCGGTGCCTTCATGCTCAACACAAGGGTGATGACTTTGTTATTTGATGTGCAGATTTCGTGCCAGCGACACTATGGCAAGCATTAACCTAGCCTAAAGCTGTCAGTTAAATGTTGTGGAGTACAAAGTACAGTATTTCCCACTGAGATGTCGTGGAATCAGAGGTATAAAGTCGCATTAAGTAGAAATACTAAAGTACAAGTACTTCAAATTTGTCCTTAAATATCGTACTTCAGTAAATGTACTCAGTCACATTCCACCTGCAGTCTTGTCGGCATAAACCAGAGCAGAAGCCTTACAATATAATTAATTAATTTGACGACTAATTGACCTTTTGTTTATCTAACTACCTTACAACAGGATCCACAGTAGCTGGGAAACAAACAATACAGGATGACTGCGACACTATGACACCAAACACACATTTTTTCATTCATCTGTTGTGATAAACAGTGTCAGACATTTTGTTCCTGAACCTTTAATTACCTGGTGGTACTGTGTAAAAGGGCTCAGCTGCATGTTCAGTTTACTCAATCGAATATTCATTTATTTACATTAAAAGCTAAGTAGCAGCTAATGGTTAGATTTCCCTTGGCATTTTTCTGGTTTCCTGCATATTTGCATTTATCGTTTTTCTTCCTTCTCTTTGTTTCCTGATCACATCCTCTGTCATTCGATCTCCTTCTTTCTTTTATTCTCTGTCTCTGTCTACATGTCTTTATTTCCAACACCTTCTGCTCTTTCACTTTAATATACCTTATTTTCCTCTCTACATCTCACCTGTCCTTCCCTCTCTCCTCCTCCCATTGTCCTCCCATTTTCCACTTCTGGATTGTCTTCCTAACTATCTTCTATCCCCTCTCCATCCTTGTCCTTCCTCTTTAGAAGCGGCGTTCGGGACGTCAAGTCAAGAGGAGGAAGTACAACGAGGATTTGGACTTCAAGGTGGTAGACGATGACGGAGAGACGATCGCAGTTCTTGGAGCTGGACGCATCTCGGCGCTCAACGCCACTGCTCTGGCGTGGCAGGCTGAGGTCAGGAACAGTGTTGATACTGACAGCTGTTTTAGATCACGTCTAAATCTTTAGACCAGAATTCTTATTAGCTTTAGTCACATTTCAGTTATTTTTATGCTTCATAGTTTGTCTAGTTTTAGTCGACAGCAACTCAGAACTTTTAGTTTAGTGTCAGTCAACAAAAAGTCATCACATTTTAGTCAACTCTTAATCAAAATGCTTTCTCTCTTTGAACTTACTGAATTAGGCTGACACAGATATTGAAAAGTAGAATCAAGGTGACAGTTGACTGCCCAGTAACATTGACTTAACAATGGCAAATTTATATGCTTAGGTAGGTAGGAAAGACTCATCAGTGTTAGTTGGCTAAACAGCAGGGTATTGTGCCTTCAGGTGTCTCTTCAGGTTGGATGCATTCTTCCCACCAGATGTGTTGCCAAAGGGCATTTCTCCGTCTCCCCGTGAAGCAGTGCATTGTGTTTTACTTATTGCTGAATTATAAATGAAGTATGTTCATAGATCAGTTCTTTTTTCCAACCGAAGCATCACACTGTTGTCATTAACTCACTGTCAGTTTGGAACATCATCTCCTGTATGGCTGGGATTCTGGGAATCTGCACACGTCACTCAACCAGTCAACTAAAGACACTGCTTTTATTTTGACAGACAGACGAGACTCACAACTGGGCAGAATATGCATTTTGAATGTTGAACATAGCTTAACTTTCTTGTACATTTTGTCGTAATTTTTATTGTAATAAAAGATTATTTTTAGCTCATCTACATCTCGTCTCATGCCGGTCTTACATCAAACCACTTTTCAAATGATTTCACCGTCGCAGACAAATCTCCAATGTCAGAATTAGATTATGAGTGTTGAGATGGTCATAAAATTCTTTCCGAGCTGTCACAAGTCAGTCTTTTTCTTGTCTTGACGTTTAGACAAAATCAAACATGTTTAATATAATTTGAAGTTTTTATTCTTGGCTCATGCTGACAGTGAAAAATAGCTGCGCTCTCTCCAGAAAACAAGAAGCAGTCAACATGAAGGGGACTCCAGGGAAGCACAGGAATATGAGCAAGACTGAATTATCTTGTGCTGTGGGAAAGGAGGAGAAACTGGTGGAGTTGTGGAGTGAGCAAGTGTTAAATTTGGTGTGTATCTGATTTTTTTCCAGCACCTATTTTAGTGAGTAATATTACGTTTTGAATCTCTCATTGCCACAGTCTCCTGACACTGAAGTATCACAGCTCACCAACAGAAACTGGAAGATGAGGTGACAGAATCCAAAATGTGAAGTTTGTACACACGTACAGTTCATCTGTGTGGATTCTGTTGATGCCGAATTGACAAGAAAACTGTCGACGTATGACGCCTTTTGTCATTTGTTTCTGAAGTTCTGTGTTTTTGCAGACATTGGTAATATGTCGTATTTTTAAAAGGGAGTTTGGCGTAACATTTTCCACTAGGTGCAGGATGGGAAATAATCTAATAAGGAATCTAGTTGTAGTCTTCCAAATAGTGACCTTACAAGATCCCTAGTCTTTGCTAAATCTGATAGTGTGGGACTAAAAACTCACATTAGATGTCAGAGTGTTTCAGACTACAGTCTTTTAAATGTATTTCCAAATTCTTCCAGTGTAAGGTAGGCATTAGTCATAATAAAAAAGCATTTTTTGTCTTGGATTTTGTTAACAAAAGTAACACTGGTAAGGAAGGACAAGGACGACCTCTCTTTGTAGCTGTTTTGTATCTATTGTCTTTCTTTTGTATCTTTATTTCAGTTTCTCTTATTGTCTTGTGTCACTTCATTCTAGTTTGAAATAATTAAATAATGTATAACAAAGTATAAAATGATCTGTTGCCCACCTTGGATTTGTCGGAGATGTGGATGTTTTTAATTAAATAGTTGGTTGTTATTGTGTGTCTATCACATCTCCACCAAAACTTGTGTTAGCATATCTGAAAAATACTGCCAGCCAAATTCTTGCTGTCACATAATCATTTTGGTCTTAGTGCTTGACAGAAGACGATCTCTTCTTTTTTTTATCTAAGTGGTGTCAGTACCTGAATTTCAGTAATTTAAATTGCTTGCAGTAACTTCATGAAGGTTATAATGCTCTCTTCTTGTTGAAACTGTGTTTGAGAGGTGTTGATTCAGTTTAATGGTCTTGTTGGAGGCTGCAGTCAACGCTGCTGTTTGACTGTGTCGTATCATTTATATAAACATGGTTACCTTTTCTGTCTGATGTGAGGTGCTTGGTGAATGCTTTGCTTCGATTCAAGTCTTTATTACATCGCTGCCGTGTGATCACAGGCTCTGAACTGACCTTCATTCTTGCTGGCAGCTAATCTTTCCTGTCTGTCTCTCCCTCAGGAGCCACCTGAGGACGAGGCCAACATCATTGAGAAAATTCTGTCCGTCAAAACAGTGAAGAAAGAGGTGAGGACAACAGAGCGCACACACACCTACACACACATGCATTATGTTTTATGTTGTTTTCCCCTGTCATTTAAAAATCAGTTCTGCTGCTCTTTATATGTTTGTTTCTTCTTCGCTTAATCCCTCTCTAGACATCATCAGAGGACCAACCGGAGGAGACAGAGGAGTTTTATGTCAAGTACAGAAATTTGTGAGTCTCTCTTCATCATTGCTTATTCATACATTTAAATGTAATTTATATTTTGACATTTAAAGAACACCCTGAAGGCTCTAAATTCGTACAGATATATTGTGCCAAGCTTTGTGTTGGCAGAATGTGAACAGCGAGGACTTCTTCTTGTCGGTTTTGTGCTCAGTGTTGAAGAGGCACAGGTTGAGGGAGTGTCTGAACTGGTAGTGCCGCCCCAGCAACTCCAAGTAGTGATACTGTGTCTGGACTGGTAGTGCCGCCCCACATCAGGAGTTGCACTCTTCCAGTTAAACTTTTATTCATATCAATCATTCAAGCTCCTCAACATTGTTTTGAATCAGGAACCTCAGCATTTGGATCAAGTAGTGTGAAACAAAAGAAGGTGTGTCAAATTAAGTAGGATACAGCTGTTAATGAAATGCGTCAGATACATATTTAATCAACTTTTAGGTCAATATAAATATCAGATCTGACTCGGTATCTTCAGATACCTATTACAAAAGGACGCTCAGGACTCAGGCTGAAAAAAACGTTGAGATCTCACGTGTCAACATGATGTTATTGACCCCTTTAGGGCCGACGTCACAATGATGTCATCTTATTAGTCGGAGGCAAAACAGGTCTCGCCACCACAAGGCTGTAGGCTTCATACGATTTTTAAAGTCATCATGTTGTGTTATTGGGAGCCAGAATAGAAGGAGTCATGACTCAATCTTAAATTTGATCACATAGCTGCCACTGCCCATCAACAAAAATTAAAACAGCTATGATTAAATGTTATAAGACGAAAGGACTGGACGGAGGCCATCATCAAAAATGCTCACATGTGCAGCGCGCACTTCATATCAGGTTAGGGAAAAAGTATTTCCTGTTGTAGGGATGAATAACATTATGTGTATTAAGGGTTATCATGTCCACCTCATCAGAAACTGGGGAGGGATTAAGAGGAATATTGGATTTCTCTGGAACGCTAACTTTTTAGCACATTAGCTACCGTTAGCTTTGATAGCAAAACAAACTGGAGGAAAATGTTCAAGCGTCATTCTACTTTCTAAGACTGGCAAAGTAATCAACCACAAAGCTTCCTGTGACATCATCCATCCACTGAGTGAGAGCATACGGGTCTGGCCAACATGTAGGTCAGTGTTTACTTCATTCAGTTTCCTCCATTGTCTAAAACAAGCTAACAGAACTTGGTAGCTAGCACCAGCTAATGTCTGTGGAGAATAGAGTGTGCCAGTAAACCTGGAACTCCGTTAGCGCTTTTAGCACTTGCGGTTCTCTCGTCTAAAAGTCAATACATTTTTTGAATGGGATTTTGGTAAAATGCGTCAAATAAGGTCTGTGGTGAACAAAAGCTTAAGCGAGTTTCAGGTTTTGTTCTACGACATAAAACACGTCAGTAAATACCCTACTTGTGAATTTTGAAGCTTTTACGTGTCGTAAAAAAGGCGGTTGCTAACAAGTTGCTCAATACTACTACAAACTCTGTTGGGGACATTAAACGTCACCACCCCCGAACAGGCGAGAGCGCTGGCAGTCCACCATTACAGCTTCTTATTTAGCTTAAAAAGTCTGATTTCCCCATTATACAATGTTGTTAATATAAAGCGGCCAAAATCAGTTGAAAGCTTAGTGGTGGTGATGTCAAGAGTCATGCAGCCGTGGAGTAGTCGTGTAGTCCGTTAAAGCCTAAAGTTAGCTTTTTACTTCTGGCGATCGCATTTAAGCTTCAAATGCGGTATGAAAGGTGTTCATATGTGAAGATTATCTCGCTGAACAAAACCTGTAAGTATCATAAACTTGTGTTAGCCACAGAGCTTATTTTCTGACATAATCCAAAACGCAATGCAAAAATCACATTCACTTTCTCTTCCGGGAACTAGCGCGATGCTAAACTTCCGGGTTTTGACGTCAGCCCTGGCACACTATTGTTTTGCCTCCAGCTAAGCCCCGCCCACCAAAAACGTCATATTGTTTACTAACAGTAAAAGGGTCTATAGGCCCTGACACACCAAGCCGACAATCGGCCGTCGGTCAGTGTTGGGCATCCGTCGCTCTACTTTTTGTTTTGTGTCTTGCACCATTGGCTCTTGTTGGCTTCACCTGATTCAGCATGTTCAATCGCCTTCGGAGTGTCAGTGAATAAAATCACTCTGATTAGCAGTTTAGCTCAGGGACAAGAAGTGAGGAAAGTAAACAAACAAACATGTTGCATAAGGTAAGATTATTTTTCTTTAGCCACTGAGCTCTTTAGCAGAAACATCTCATGTTGCTTTGTTGGTTGGTGTTGGTTGTGCTTTGTTCTTTCAGCGTTGGATTGTGTTGTTAATGTGTGAACTGGCTAACTAGCAGTATTACGGTCTTCCGATTTCCTTTTTTGAATGATGATTACAGACAACTGCTGTCTGCTGGTGTGGAGGGTTATTATCTCTTACTGTAGTCTTTGCAGTGTGTTCATATTCAGATTTTTGGCCGAGACACAGGAGACATGAAACTATTTTTTTGAGGTCAGTTTGGTGTGTCTGGGTCTTATGGGGCCGTTGTGGCCTGAAGGTCAGAAGGTAGCTTGTGATCAACAGTCAACAGTTGGCAGGACAGTGAACAAGCAGCACTTCCTAATCCCCTCTCATAAGCACCACTGAGGTTCCCTCAAGCAAGGCCCCTGCTACTCCAGTGGAGCTGCTCAGTGGCAAACAGAGCAGACTGTGGTTGTTCTGAGCAGCTTCCAGGTGTGAATGTGTGAACAGGGTGTGAACAACAAGGGCTTTAGTATTGGATTGTACTACACAGCGAAGGTGAACCTGATATACTGTTGAGTGAATTATATGTGTGTCATGTACCATATGATCATACTGTTTTGTTGTTGGTGTGACTCTAGGTGTGACAGTGTAAGTAGGTCCGCCTCCTTTGGCTCACTCTGAAATATCTTAACAACTGTTGGATGGATTACCGTGAAATTTTCCTCAGATGTTGATGTAACTCAGACGGGTGATCTCTACTGACTTTGCTGATGCCCAGACTTTACCTCTGGAGCGACCGGCAGGTTGCCATATGTAGTTCACAGTGAATTGTCTTGATAGCTGTTGAATGGATTACTGTGCAGTTTAGTAACAGACCTGCCTGTACAAGTACAATTTTGCATCTCTATAGGATAAGAATCAGGTTTTTTTCTCTTGGATTCAGGAACCACAAGCTGTCTGAAATGATTTTATTACTCTATTGTTCACGAAGCTGTTGGTACTTGTGGTATTTGTTCTCACCAGTACTGTGTGCGTCAGTTGGAGTTTGGGAGACCATGTAAACTCCATCCAGAAAGAACAATGGCTGAGACCCAAAGAGCTGCCTCTTCAAGCTAATCACTGAACCACCTGATGACAGACACTTACATGATCAAAAAAAAATCATCCCTAGTGAATCTACAACACGTCCTGGGCGCCACCGTGCACATGAGCAACCTCAGAGGTGTTGGATTCAGCCTCATGATTGATGAAAACATTTTAGGAGTGTCTTGACTTTGTTAGAGCTATTTAGTTAATAGTTTTTATGACATTGATTTCTCCCAGAGAAGTTGACTTAGCACACATGGGCTGTGTTTTCACAGCGGTTTATTCTCCAGAGTCAGTAAAGTGCTTCTCAGCAGTAGCTGTTGAGGGAGCGCAGACAGTTTTTCATCCTCTCACCGAGGCTCAGCTCCTCCAGCCAGCCTGAGGATCTCTGGAGACGCTGCCGTTTGTTCCAGCACTTTGTATCTTTAAGAAAACTCCTACACACATATACCGTACCATCATTATTATGATTGTAATTTATTCTCGGGGGTGATGAATAAAACATGGCGAGCTGAATCAAACTGAATGGATGTGAACGCTTTACTGTTCCATGACTTTATTTAGAATAATGTATTCACAGATTATAAAGTTACAGAGAAAGCGCCCAAGTCTAATATTTGTAGTGTAAAAATCATCATTATACATAATACATTATCAAATGCATAAGCAGTTGCATTGGGAGTTGAGTAACTGCATGCTTCTGCACAGCAAACACTGCAGTGACATTTATATTTGTCCATTTATAGATTGTGGTTTATGGATTAAATCATGCATGTCAAACTGTAGCCATAGTAACAACATTTGTTCTGCTTTCCTTCCCATCGACTAATGATTAGGGAATTCTTTGTCAGTGCATCAGCGAGTGAGACATCCTCATTCTTCCCCGTTCTATAAGATTCAGTGATGTGTGGTGCAGAAGGTCATTGCCTGAACAGTCGTAGGATACAGTGGAGGATGTGTATCATGACTGCTGCTTGTTTAAAAACATTTCTATCTGTTCACTGACCCTAAGTCTCGTTTTGAATTCCGATCATTCCCTCTACCATCTTTAGGCTTAAAGAAGCATTTAACTGCTGGAAAGATGATCTTTTCCTATAATTGGGTTGTCTGCGCAGTAGAAAGATACAAATATACCTTCTTTCTACTGTCACTTTTGTCTGCACCAAATAAAGCCATGCTGCGGCAATTTGTGTTTCCATTGTCAGTTTAGACGCGCAGGCGTGGCATGGCGGTCCAAAAGCCGGGCCGCCCACCCTCAAGCAGGTAGCTGGGACGTCTCGCCACCCGCACCCAACCCCCGATGACCCCTGTCCTCCCCTCAAACAAACCGTGTGTGTTGTGAGACTCTCCTCACCTCCGTCTCCAGGAGACCAGAGAGAAAGGCGTTTTTAAAAGTCTCTGTATGTCTGTAGCTTCTAACTGAATCTCTGTGGTTTGGAGTTTAGTTTCTCTCCTGCGTCCTGTTTTTACTTTAGATATCTGCTTTATTTTATTGTTTCATGTTCGCTATCCGCCTTATTAGAAGTTGCAACTCAAAAACTCAACATTTCCTTATTTTGCTGCTTCACAATAAAAGTTTTCACATAACAAAATAACAAGGGACTTTTATTTTTAAGACCTTTTAGGAATTAAAATGTGTTTATTACAGAATTAGCAAAACTTTATTAGCAGCTTTTCTTCAGTTGAGGCAAGTGTAAAAATACAGCAGGGAGGAAAGTAAAAGCAGAAACAGCCACAGTGAGATGTTGATGAAGAGCTGAAGACAACAGGCTCTTACTGCACCTCTGCAAACAGCTCTCCTCCAACAGGTAAACTTATTTTACCTGCCCTGCTTTGTGATGGAAAAACACATGCAGCAAAAATAACGGGGGACTTTAGCCATAGATTGGCACTTTTAAACGTCATCATTCAAGAAAAGCCGTCATCAGTTAAAGACACAGCTTCAAGCAGGTAGCCCTGTTGTAATGGAAATTCAAATCAATGCTGTGCTGGGCTGACGGGCCAAGCCAAGCCAAGCCAAGCCAAGCCAATCCAAGCCAAGCCAGCCCATGACTGTGGAAAAGGGGTTATACTCTTGAAATCTGTGCTATATGTCCAGAGAAAACAGAGAAAAAGGACTGGAAACTATCAGAATGCACTGCACTACAAGGGACCAATAAAGGGTCCCGCTGGTGGGTGAAGTAATGTGAGCTTTCCACAGGAAACAATATGGCAACCAGCAGGTAACAAACAATCTCAAATTACAGTTAAACGATAAGCTAAAATAGTTTCTGAAAACATTTGAGGCGAGATATAGGCAACACAGTAAGAGAATCTTGCTTTATATTTGATCAGCGCTGCTTAAATTTACAGTTTGATCTCAGTTCTTTCAGCCTCTGTTTTCACAATACCGCAAACAGTATAACACCCACATCCTGTTGACAAATACTCATATTACAGCTAAACAGGGCACTAAAATGTGTTTCTGAATACATTTTAGGCAAAAAAAGGTGGTATAGTAATACAGGCAGGTCTCTCTTGCTCTTGATCCACCTCTATACTCTTTGTGTCTGTGGTGGCAGGCGATATGAAAGTGCGGAAGTACAATCTGCAGTTTGAGCAACAACCCAAGAGCAGTCAGTTTTGAGCTTGGAGATATGGGCGCTGGTAGGATGGAGGGAAGTTTACCACAGTCCATTTACACATACTGCCCACGTTGTTATGATACAGAGCTGGTTGAAATTCATCGAAGTATCCCAACAATGAGCTGGCTTTTCTCCGGGATTTGTTTTCCTCTCTCTGGCATTGCTCCACCAAAAATGGAAACTTAAATTCCAGCCGGCATTGTTTCCTCATGATTCCTTCAGGTGTTCTGTTTTAAAGATGATTTTAGCTGTCTTCATATTAGGTAACGAGTTTACAATGCTGTCTGATATCAGGCAAGTACTTCGGGTTCTTTCTTCTTCTTGCGCTGTGTGCAGGCCACACATCACAGGGACTGGAACTTTTCGAAGTGTGGGAAAGTGTGTGTTTCAGTTCTGTCGGTACTGTAGCTCTCATGATATTTAAATGCTTTGTTGAGGATTTTAAAACCGTTATGCCAAAAAGGGGCGTAAAATAATTATTTGCTTCGAGTGAAGTCTTTGAAATTGAAAAAGTAGTGCTTGAATGTCCTTAAATTTTAGTCTGTAATGTGTTATGGACCCTGGACTATCCTGTTTCTATGGTTTCTCTCCCTACGTGCACAGGGCTTTATATTGATTTGATTGTGGAGAGAAGTCATAGTGTGATTGGTATTGAGTTTTTGGATGGGTATTTATTCCTGGGCTGAATGTTTTTTTTTACTGATTTTTGTAATGTACAAACGTGTAAACAAAATACATGTGCTTCGTGAAATGAAATCCCTGTCGTTCCTTTTGTTGTGTGTTACTGTAGTTCCTACCTACACTGCAAGTGGGCCACTCTGGAAGAGCTGGAGAAAGATCCCAGAATCCACCAGAAGATTAAACGCTTCAGGACCAAACAGGCGCAGATGAAACACCTGTTCACTGAGGTAACAGTTAACATCATCTTCTTTTTATTGTCCTTATCGACTGCTCATGTCTGGATGGAAGGCTTATCTCCTCACTGTGAGTCGGGCTGGACTAATTTGTGTTTAGTAATCTAACAAAGCTATTACTAAAGCAATTTTAGCTCGTCACAAAGTTGTTTGGAAAGTGTAATCACAATCACTTCAGGTATATAATGAATGGGCCTGATCAACACAGGGTGGAAAGACATAACATGTATTTTTGCTTATTTGACATTCTTTGCGCTGACTGTTTTATCAAAGAAACCCCTGACCTGATTAATAATGGATAATCATTAATCTCTTGTCGTCTTCTCTTTCTTTATCTCTTTGTCCCCTTTTCCAGCCCGATGAGGACTTATTTAATCCAGACTACGTCGAGGCGGACAGAGTGCTGGAGGTGGCTGTAACCACAGACACTGAGACTGGAGAGGTAGGTAACACATAAACACAGACGCTCTCTCCCAGCAGTGTTTGAAAATGGTTATTACTGAAGGTCCTTGGTGTGGCGGTACCCTCTTAGTTGTTGGCACACACAAACACACTATATTTTTCTGTGTTGTTGTAGGAGGTGACCCATTACCTCGTTAAGTGGTGCAGTCTCTCGTACGAGGAGGCGACGTGGGAGCTGCAGGAGGATTTGGACCCAGAAAAAATCAAAGAGTTTGAGGAGATCCAGAAACTGCCACCGGACCTCAGACACATGGTGAGTGGAAACACAATCGAAGACGAGTACAAATGAGAAAAAACTGTGTAGTTTGATGTGTTTTTCTGACATGGAGGAGAAAAATCTGTGAAAAAGCAGAAACAAAACACCGGTGAAGTTTTAAGGAGAGACTGGCACTTTTCAGATCTTGGAAATCTCTCCAAGTGTGCACGTGAATGGCACGTGACAATTGTTGTTTTTGAAATTACTGTATGGATAAAGTTGCAATTATTATTGATTGGCCAAATATTTTTAGCAGTAGAACTATCACTTCAAATAAATCCAAAATTCTGAAATCTTATGAAATGAAACAAAATAGAAGAATAGACTAGAAAGACTTTATTGTCACTGTACAAACAATAAACAACATAATCATTCATAAAATCAGAAATAAATAGTGTAAACATTTTTATCAAGTTGTTGTACATGTAAAATAAATAGTGGATTGCACCTGAAGAGCAACATAATGTTATGTAAGACTTTGACATAAAATAAAACCTTGCAACAATACACTGTCACTGTAGCAGCCAACCTCAGATGGAGCCTGATGATAAGTCTGAATTGTCATTTCTTATCTGCTCCTTATTCGCTCAGACATCAAGAGCTGCAGTGATTAATCAGTAAGTTGTTAACTCTGAAATGAATTGCCAACTAATTTAATGATCGCTTGTTTTTTCTTGCTTCAGTTTTTATTGAATCTTTGCAGAGAAATACATAGAACAGCATGACAACATCGACACACACAAATAAAATACAATAAAATACACAAACCAAATAAAAAATATATAAAGTAAGAATGATTGGTTGTCTGGAAATCTTCCAATATCTATACAACTATCTGCACTGAGGCATTCATTTAGTTGATGTCAAGATTCATGTAAATGTTCAATTTTTTCCACTTCTTTTTAGAGTTGTTCTCTTTGACTCTCAAAATGTTTATTAGCTTTCCCATAACTTAAATGTCTTGGACAATTCCCAGTCAGTGTTCTACAAAAAAAAAAGGTTTTTGAGGATAGCTTTGGCTTAATTGTAAATATTTTCTGGTTCCTTTCCTCCTCTATGACAGTAATCTCATTATCTTTGTGTTGTGGAAGAAACAAGACATTTGAGGACATCATCTTGGGCTCTGGGAAAAACTGATCTACATTTTTACATAGAAAAAACAACAAATTGATCAATTGAGAAAATAATCGACAGATTAATTGACAATGAAAATAATTGTCAGTTGCAGTCCTACTCATGTTTGTTGATTTCTGACCAGAGTGACTGACATAATCATCCCGTCTGTCCGTCTTCAGTCAGCGCAGAAGCTGCCATACCATGTGCTTGAAGCAGTTAACTTAAATTTGAAATACGGGTGCCAGGGTCAGTTAATTTTGCTTTCGAAGTAGCCCATTAACTGATGATGAACTAGTACATTTTTAAGAAAAAGAAAACAACAAAATGAAGTGAGTGATGCAAGAGGCCTTATCTTTTAGCCTGGCGCTTCATTGACTCATTGAGCTTTAGTGCAGCATTTCAAACTGCTCTCCATTTAGAGGTTGTGAAATTTTATTGTTTTGCCTTTATTTTATTGTCTGTTGGCTTTGCTGCATTAACATGTGGAAACATAGCGCCCACTGCCTACCCTCCGGTCTCCACTAGTTAGCTAGCATTAGCCTCGGCTGCTCTGCACTGCACACCCCCTGCATTGGGTGAAAGCTAGCTAGCAGCGCAGCCCATTCACAATTACTGCTAGTAACATCATCCTGATGGTGGGATGGTGCTGCTCCGGATATATTCTGTCCACCCTCAGGTCTTCCCCAAGGTCGCCCTGGTGAGTAAGCGGCTTCATTTTCAGCAGCAAAACCTATTTAGCATTGTTAACCATGTTAGCAGCACTAGCAGTGTTGACACTGTGCTAACAGATCTGATGCTAAAGGAGGTGTGAGGCTCAAAAATTTAGCTGTTTTCTCACTGGGGCAATCTTAGGAGTAGGGTTGGGTTGGTTCTCGGTACCGGGTTTTTTTTTTTTTTTTTTGGAGACCGACCAGACCGCATACTTGGCAGAACGCACGCGGAGTGGACGCTGCGGAGGTCCGCCCGGTAAAAGTGGACGTCTGCAAGCCCTGTGCGCGCAAAGCACGACCGCGCTGACTCCGCTCTGCGCACCAGTGTCACACAGAAGACTGTTCAGCATGTATTTTTCACATCGCGGGGATTTTTCACAGACATTTTTATACGGAGTCCACTCCGCTTATAGTACGCCGGAGTCTGTGAGCACCTGTGTCTGCCTCTTCGCCAAACGCACAGGGAGCAGGAGAGCGAGGGGGGTGGGGTGGGGTGGGGACTGAGCTAGGGGGTGCGAGTGCGCATGCGCAGAGGCCTCTACTGTAGCCTGGAGTTTGTTTAATAGTGACGGGGAGTCGATAATGGCGGACAATTTAGTCTCGACGAAATCAAAGAATGCGCCACTATGGCAACACTTTGGCTTTGAGCCAGTTTAAGGAGGCAACCCTTGTTTGCACTGATTGAGTAAGCTGCAAAATTTATTTGTAAGGAATAAAAGAAACAACTTGTTACTGTCACTCTGTTGTCCTAAGGTCGTTTTTTATTTTAAATGAATCAATTGTGCCCCCAAGTAGCGAAAATTCGGTATTACCGACTTGATGCGTTTTTTTGTTGTTGTTGTTTTTGTTTTGGTTTTTTTTTGGTTTGTTTGTTTGTTGTTGTTTTTTGTTTGTTTTTTTTACAAAAACCGGACCTTTTTTTTTTTTTTTTTTTCTTTCTCATACCGACCCAGCCCTACTTAGGAGAGGCCGGCACAATGTTTCCACAGCAACGCCATTGGGTCGGGAGGGTTTTACAAGTGGTATGTCAACAAATGAGTAGCGCCGCTAGCTAGCTCCCATCTGACTTATGTGGTGTGCGATGCAGTAAACTGAACTGAACCTTTGGACGGAAATGCATATCTGGTCAACAATACTCTTGGCAGTTAACCATTGACGTCCTTAATTTGTAAGCTGAAGAAATATGCTAATTTATGACTTCTTATTTCCTGTAAACAGATTTACGAACTCTTGTATAACTGTCTGTTGCAGCCACACCATTTTTCTGGCAGTTTTTCTGTCTGTGGTGCCTGAAGATGACGTCTTTATTCCTCATCCCCACCCACAAAGTTCTGATTGGCTCAGTTGCTTTTCAAGCCACGCAAACAGCCGTCACATCACCAGACCTATTTGAATTGCTGGAAAGATCTGGAGATGTGGGCGGCGATTTAGATGTCTGGAACCAGACGATTTCAGATGAACAGTGAGCAAAAACATTAACATTTTGAGTTTACGTTTGTGGGTGGATGAAAGAAAAAGGGAAACTGCACAAAACCACAACAACATTATGGCTTTATTTTTCATCTCCCGTACTTCCTGCAGAACAGACAACCTTTACTGCCCACATCTCTACAACCACGCTCCCTCAAAATCACCAACCCGGCCTTGTTTTCTTTTTCGGTGCTAATGAGTGCAAATGCAATCAGTGCTGTGAGGGTTTTCTTTCTTCTGCACCATCAGGTCTGGGTTTGTGTTTGTTTTTGGAGGTGACATTGAGGTTTTGAAAATCCTCACAATCAAAACCATGTAAAATCTCCGCTCTACATCTGTGCTCCTCTGTTTACTGTGGGCATCAGTGTGAAGCCACGGGAGAGGCCGTCCAACGTGGGCAGAACAGAGAGGATTGTGACAGAGAAGTCATCAGTCTCCTGACCAGTCTAACAGCACATTTACTTTTGCTGAATGTTGAATACAAAATTGCTGCTCAAATAGCAGCAATTTTCTAGAGTCTCTCTGCACTCCTGAGAGATACAGGAGCGAGACCTGAGCAAATTATTTCTGCTCTTTAGCTGTTATTCATTTCAATACTAGTATTATCACTTATTACACCCAGCCAGCAGCAATCTGTTGCACCACTTCTTTTTATTATTCTTCCATGTCATCTCCAAAATCACAGTTGGAGTCATCTCACACTTAAAAATAAAAATGGGACAACTCATTTATCAGGGGAAGCAAATAGTTTTAATACCCGATATTCTCCAAGTTCTTTTGTTGGATAAAATCTGTGTGAATGAAAGGAAACCCTTTCACATCATATCTAATAAAGCCACAGTCGTCAGTAGTCATATTTTTTTAATAATTAAGCTTAAGCAAAAGTAGCTAGTTACATTTTGTTTGTTTGTAATTATCACTGAAATGGAAACTTTAAGTTGTAAAAACACCTGTTGATGACATGATAGAATGGAATAAGACAGAACAGTGTTTGTGTGTGTCTGTTCATATTGCAGGAGCGTCCTCCTCCAGACAAATGGCAGAAGTTGGAGCGCTCCAGAGATTACCGGAACGGAAACCAGCTCAGAGAATACCAGTTAGAGGGAATGAACTGGTTACTGTTCAATTGGTACAACAGGTGAGTACTTCACCGCTGGAAAGATAGGTTTTTGATAAATCTAGGATGTCTCTACAATTGCAAATATTTTTGAAATTGGTGCCACGCAATTGCTGCTCCAGTTAGTTGGTGACATAATGTGAACGTCCATTTGAAACAGTGGTGCCCAACTGCTCTTGCAATTAAACTGTAAGCTGAAACCTGTTTCTAAAACATTTTAGGTGAGAAATAAACAGTGTGGTATCAAAACCTTGATTTATTTTTGATCAGCGCTGCCTAGTTGTACTGTTTGATTGGATTGTAGTCCCGAGTTTGAGAGAGAGAGGGGCGGGTCTGCTCTTTATCTCCTCCTGTACTCTGTGCGTGTGATCGTTCAATCTCCGGCTCATCCAGCCTGCATGTTAAAGTATACTTGGGCAAGATACTGAACCCCAAAATGCTCCCCATAGCTGTTCCATCAGTGTGTGAATGTGTGTGAATGCAGCACACAGCGTTACCGATCATCTTTTATCCCTTTATTTATTTACCCTTTTATTGCCCTACTCTACCTGACAAGGAAGGTAAAGTAAAAACATTAAAAATTACAAAAATTGTTTACATTAAAAAGGGAGGTTCATATAATTAAATGCTCAAAGTCCTAAACGTTAAACTGCATTCTCAAAAACATACATTTCCAAATCTTGCAGGTTGCGTTAGTAGGTGAACCTGTAGGGACATGTTTGCATGGTGAGTGATAAAACAGCATCAATACATGAATAGGAAACTTGATAAATAATTAATAAAGCAAGGCCTTCAAAATGCCAATGGGCAACAACTGCATCACAGTATACTTAACAATAATCTAATAAACCTGCATTCTTTAAAGTAAGTAGGTTCTTATCAAAAAGATCCTTCAGGCCCTAAATCGTAATTGCTTTGAAACAATGCAGGTGTGAGTTGTGGATGAACCCAATATACATTATGAAATGTGTTTGCAGCGATTCAGCTTTCTTTTGTTTCATTTTTATTTATCATTCAGTCACTTCTTTCTTTGCTTTTGTCTCTGGAGCTGCTCTAAGCTGTGAGTTTCCCCAGTGTGGGATTAGTAAAGTTTATCTGATCTTAAAAGACTTTCACTGAGGTACATTAAATGCCTTTCACAGGAAGGGCTTCTCAGCTCTGCAGCTGCATCAACTTCCTCAACACTTTGTTTGGGTCAGACAGTAACCGTGATTAAGACCAGTTCACTTTACTGTCAGGTATGTGTCATACGGCGAGCTGAACAGCAACAGCGTCAACGTTTTACCCATAACAGCTGATAATGTGTGAGTCAAACACAAGCTGGAAGACGGGGATGATTCTGTTAGTGTCTTTTAATAGCAGTAACTGTGGCTGAAGTCATGACCTCACAGAGCCTTTATCGGAAAGCTTTCCTTTTTTTGTGACCTTTAAGTGTCGGACGTCTGCAGAAACCCTTCAAGTGTATCTTTAAAAAATACTCACATGCCATATATATATGTTGTAAGAGTTCTTGGCTGCTTTAACTGTCTAGTCCCCTCCTTATCTGTAGCTGCCACAAAGAGATCCCTTCCTGAAGCTATTTCAGTTAAAGTGAGAGGGTCAAAATCCTCAGTCCTCGCTCTATGTAAAGAAGCATTATAAAGTTCAGCTGAAGCTAATACGAGGCTCCAGCAGTCAGAGTTAGTCAGATCAAGTGGGTGTCTTCCAGATTTAGTAAGAAATTCCCTCTTAGTGCTTCGAGCCACAGCAGAGGGACGGTAACACAAAGAGTTCTAAAAGGTTGTAACTTTGGAAAATAATTGATTTATTTGGCTGATTCTCTCTGACGAGGCCCCGTATTGTCTTTAGATAAACTCAAGAAGGTGTTTTTACACAGAATGAGGACTGAGTTTTGCCCCCCATCTGTTAACAATGACACTGGGTTAAGAAGGGGCCTCTTACGCCGGATTTCCACTGGATGCGTGTCTGTTGCGGAACGGCAGCGCTGGTTATCCGCTGTGTTCTCTGCCGTCCGTCATTACCCACCGGCTGCGTTTGCTGTGCGGAGCGGTGCAGCTCTGCCGGAAGACATCTCGGTGCACTGCCATGATTAATATTTCCTTGTCCATGGTGTTAACAGGGTGAAATGACGTCTGAAAACCTCTGACCTGTTGACTTCAGGCCCGCCTCTGCCCATTATATAGTTTTCAAGGTGTAGTGCAGGGAAATATGACACTGTGTATTTTGTTTTGAAAATTAACCGGATGTTTTATTTTGTTTCTGTGCACGACTTCCTGCCCCGCACCATCTGCTCTGTGCTGAATTGCTGCGTTGTGCTCCGGCGTCCGGCAAAAATAGAAGTCCTGCGTATCTGTTGCGGAGGGCTCCGTAGTGCCGCAGCTGTGACGGAGCCAGAACGCAGCACAGCCGCAGCCGGTGGAAGCACACATATTGACTAGAATTGAATCCTATCGGCTCCGCTGCCGTGCTGGAGCGCAGACGCAACCAACACGCATCTGGTGGAAAGAGGCCGTTAGGACGCATTCACACTGGCGCTGTTTGGTCTGCTTTAAACGAACCCTGGTCCGCTTCCACGGGTAGTTCGGTTCGTTTGGAGTGGTGTGAACACTCATTCGAACTCTGGTGCGGACCAAATAAGTGAACCCTGGTCCGCTTGAAAACTGGGGGTCTCAGTTGACTTGCAAGTGAACCCTGGTGCAGTTCGCTTACAGTGGGAAATGCAAACCGACTATCCAGTGAACAAAAGAGAGGAGTGGTGTTTTTGTGGTGACCAAGCCGGCTGGAGGGGATTTCCGTTTTCGGTCCTGACCAATTGATGAGCTGGGTTTTCTTCTTCCTCATGCTTTTTTTCTTCCTGGTCAGTGGTTGTTTCGGGCAATACCGCCCTTGAACGAGCAGCTGTTGTAACTGCGTGATGTTTAAAAAGTGCAGTGTGTAAGTGAACCGAACCAAATGAAGGTGGTTCTCTCCCCCCCCCCCCCCTTCACCATACACGCCATTAGCTGACAGTAAACGCAGTGAGGAGGAGGAGAAGAGTGAGGAAAGTGTTAACTTGAAAGACTTGATCTTGAATGTAAAAAATGGTGCTATTCTCTTATTATTAAATCTTTATTTAACCATGTGAAGGCACATTACGAGTCAGTATAATATGTGCATAGTGCATTTGTACTGTACAAACACATTCAATGACTCATGCTCAGTGTGTTACCTACAGTAGATGTGGTCCCAGTATGGAGAAACTGACAGGAGTACCTCTGGATGCCATGTTAGTGTGCTTCCAAAAATCGCACAGTAACAAAAACAAACAAACCAATCAGTGGCAGCAATAGACAAGCAACTCCTCGTGTTCTGCAGGGTGAAATGACTATTTCTGTCAATAAAGTCTGGTGGCTTTGGATGGGGGCCACAGCAAAATGTATTTTAGACCCCTAAAAGAGAAAACACCTTAAAAAAAATCATTATCTGTTTAAATGTGTGCTATAGTTAGATTATTTTACAAATTTACATCAGATTTATGTATGAATCCTCTTTGTATTGCCCTCATCCTTGACTGCATCTGTGTCTGAGTGAAACATCATAAAGATCCCTGTGCCACATGGTTACTTTATGTAGGATATCTGCAGAAAGCCAGAATGAAGACTTGAGAAGTAACTTTAACACCTCAGAATCCCACTTTACTGCATATTTTCAGATTAGATCTGACCATAAATGAAATGAATGAAACTTCTAAAACGTATTTATGCCTCACGATACAGAGCTCATAAGTAACACCAGTATGTCATGAGAGGAAAGGCATGTTAACACAAATTCATGGATTAGCTTGACTATTTTACTAGTAAGCATTAAGGGATGTATTTCTTGTATTTTAGGATTAAGGCACAACATAAGGATTCCTCTCTCACACTGTCTTTGTTTGGTTTTTTTTCTAGAAAAAACTGCATACTGGCAGATGAAATGGGTTTGGGAAAGACCATCCAGTCCATCACCTTCCTCTACGAGATCTTCAGCATGGGTATCCGCGGCCCCTTCCTCATCATCGCCCCCCTGTCCACCATCACCAACTGGGAGAGGGAGTTTCGCACATGGACGCACATGAACGTCATCGTGTATCATGGCTCGCAGATCAGCCGGCAGATGATCCTGCAGTACGAGATGTTTTACAGAGACGCCCAGGTGAGGTTTGGATGTATCAGCCTGTGCATACGAGTCATCGCCTCTTCTTAATCAGTAAATGAGTCAGCTGTGTGACGTTGTTAGGAGTAAAAGGAGAAGGTGTGGGTTGGTGTCTTTTTATTACCTTTATAAATATATAAAAGTGAGGGAAATGCATGAAAGTGCTGACATTTAACTGTAGCTGACTTCTGTAAAGGGAATCATCCCCACGTATCTGATTACTTTGCTGTGAATCATCTGTAGGTGATGTTTTTTCATGACAGTGTTCTCAATGAGTCAATACATTTTGGGTGCTCTCAGACCTAGAGTCGTCTCCTTTGGTCTGAATCAGGGACTAATTTTGTTCCAAAGTTGTATAATTGCCTAGAGTTGGTTCGTGTTCTCACGGCAGCATTTACAAGCGGACCAGATCAAATGCCTTGTGTGAGAAAGCTGCTTTTCATTGGTCAGAATTTCCATGTGGGAAAAATCCAGGAAGTAAAGCAAACGTTGAAGAAGAGTACACTTGCAAGATAAATGTGACACTTTCTACGCAGGTTGATTTTAGCGCTGCTCATCGTGGACTATATTGCTGTCATTGTTCATTTTAGTCAAACCATACAGTTTGAAAACGAGGCGCGGCTCCAACTAGAAAACAATGTTTTGATGCACTGGATGTGCTGAATGTGCATATTAAGGCAGTACAGGAGGAGGTGCACATTAATAATCCTCCAGGACTGTAACATGCTCATGTTTAACCCAAACAATGTGTCACGTGACTGCAGTTGGTTCAGATCGAACACACGTTCTCATCACAAACGAAACGCACCAGAGTTCGTTTGTAACCGGACTGAGACCACCTCTTCAAGAAGGTTTCAGTCCGGTTGTTTTGGTGCACACCTGAGTGTGATTGCTGTGTTCACACCTGCCCAAACGAACCACACTTAGGGGTCATACGAACTTGAGTTTAATTGAACCAAACCAAACAGGGCAGGTGTGAAAGCACCCTTAGATTATGGTGGTCAAAGGTCACTGTGACCTTGCGTCTGTCTCATTTCATTCCTGTGAACGCCTTGATGGAATTTCTTCAAATTTGTCACAAACGTCCACTTGGCTTCAAGAATGAACTGATTTGAACTCGATGGTTAAAGGTCAAAGCTCAAGATCACTGTGGCCTCACAAAACATATCTTTGGCCATGACAGAATTTATATGCTAATTGTGACAAAATCTCTCACAATCTAATTTAATAAAATGATGAAGTGATCATATATCCAAAAGGTCTAGGGTCAACCTCACCGTGACATCATAATGTTCTGAAAAAAAAACAAAAAAAAACCACTTTTCTGGCCATTACTCATCGTCATACCTCAGGAGCAGAAGGGGAGACATTTAGTCAGATACTGAACTGGCGACATTCATCCTGAAATTGTGCTGATTGTATAGAGCTTCTCTGCTGCCGGGGGGAAGATCTGTGTGAAGCATTGATGTTCTCCACAGACATGGATGCAAACTGTAACTGCAACTTGACTGGTTCACTGAGGCTGGCACAAGCATGGGGGAGTAATTCTAGTTTTCAGATGTGAGGGTGCGATGAATGTAAGTTGAATATTGTTTGGTTTTCAGCTGTTGGGAGGACAGAGCATGGAATATGACGACTTCAGCTCTAGGATACTGTGATGGACATATTTCACTATTTCTAACATTTTGTTTTGACAGCAGTGCATTGCTTAATCAGAAATATAATCGACCAATAAATTGATTATGAAAGAAATGTTTAATTCATATGCTGATTTAATGCAAACCTGCCCTCTCTGTTTCTGCTGTATTAAATAAGTAGTGGAGAGTAGGGAAATCTCTTCCATCAAATCTCAGCGGGATCAAATGTAAGGTCTTTGCATTCAGTGTGGAGTTGTTCAGAATTGTTAAGAGAATGATCCATTTAGTGAGAAGTGAGTTCACCACAAGCTTTAAATGTTTTGAAGCTGTATCACTGTGGGTTTATTGTGTACCTTTTAATTAATGGTGGAGGCAAACCCTTGTTGAGAGAGAGATGAAGGTCTGTGTCTGCAGAGTTAAAGAGAGGATATTGTAGTTTTAGGTTGTAGAGGCGCATGGACAACAAAAGATTTGAGAAAGCTGAAAATTAATTCTGAGCCCTATTCAGTGTGGGAGTCAACATTTTAGAGCGTGCAGGGATGAATTTGTGAGAGCAGAATGAGATTTGAGCTTGCAGTCCTGATGGTGTGTGCCTTTGGCCCTGCACTGGAGATTTAAGTTGGTGGATTTGGGTTCGTAATGGTTCAAATAATTTTCAATCAGAAAAAAGAGAAAAAAGAAAGCCTTGTGTCTGGTTTTAACATCACACTTGTAATATAAGTACGTAGGATGCGAAAGTGACCACTGTGATATATAGGTAGTCACTACTTTTCTTTTTTGAAGATATTTATTTGGGGAATTTTGGCTTTTATTTGATAGGACAGATATAGTGTGAGAGGGGCAGAAAGAATGGGGACGACAGCAGCAAAGGGCTGTGGGTTTAATTAGAACCTGTGGCCATTGCAGCAAGGACACAGCCTTTGTACACGGGGCACCTGCTCTACCAGGTGAGCTAGTAGGCACCCAGATAATCATTACTTTGTATATAATTTGTCCCTCAAAATCAGTCTCCCATGACAGCTTTAAAACAAGATGATTTGCGAACACATTTACACATTAAATGTGATGTCATCTCCTGTATTCTCACACTGACCTCCCACTCCTCCGCAGCACACTCGACAATATTTGGATTGTTCTGAACCAGCTGAAGTTCATGTTGGAGTGATTTACGGTCGAGGCTTTGACCTTTCGAGACTCTTGAACATTTCAGATTGACCTGTTCTGCAGATGTGTGATAGAAGCTGTGATAGAGGGGCATAGTTGAGTTGAGCTGTATTTGTGTAGTCGATCCTCAAGATGTCAAAATAGTTCTTCAAATAATGAGGATTATTCACTGGAAAAAACTAAACTGTGATTTAGCAGGTTTTGTGTCTGACTGTGGCTCTCTCTGTCTGTCTCTCTCCGTCCATCCTCGGGGACTGTTGCAGTGTGTTTAACACTCAGGGTGTGACGGACATCCATCACGCAGTCGTCATGTCTCTCTCTTTCACACTGACCTCTTTTTCCCTCGCCTTCACTCTCCCTGCAGCATGGCTCCATTTCTGACCGTCGAGTGATCAGCGTCCTTAACATTTTTATTTTATGGAGCATTTCAGCTGTGCAGTTATTTAAATATTCACTGTCATAACAAGTTTCTTTTTACCACATGTCCAGTCTCAGATTAAGGTGTCATTAGCGGCTAGTAGTTTTGACTTCGGCTTTCTGCTTCCCTGATATGAATGTTTAAATGGGCCTTTCTCAGGGTAACACCATCCCAGGTATTCTGAAGTTTCACGGGGTGATCACCACCTTTGAGATGATCATGGCCGACTGTCCGGAGCTGAAGAAGCTCCACTGGCGCTGTGTTGTGATCGACGAAGCCCACCGCCTGAAAAACAGGAACTGCAAACTGCTGGAGGGACTCAAGCTCATGAACCTGGTCAGTTAGTCTGTGTGTGCGTGTCTGAATGTACAGTATGATTTATGTTTAACATTGCAGCTATAGGAATCTTGTTCTCTCAGCCTCTCCTCTCCTGTGAAAAGATTGTTTTGATAAACTGCAAAGTCTTAGGGCTGCTGTGAAACTGCACCTACTCGGGGCAACAAAAAAATTTGTCTTGGGTGCGCCGGTACAACAGACAAACAAGAAAGTACGGCAGAGAAGCAGCTCACCAGTGCAAACACAAAAAGGCCCACAGGCTGAGATCAATGCAAGAAATTGTCAGTTTATTTAGGACATCCATGCACAAAAAGAAGGGCACTCACAGTGCAAAAAAAAGTTTGATATCTTAAATAAATGTGTGGACCTTTTTGTGGCAGTCCAGCCCAGCTACATTGGTGAGTGTGTATCTTCTCTGCCATCCTTTCTTGTTTTAATAAACCCCATTGAATTATTTTTTCAGTTGAGTTTGACTAAATAGTATTAGAAGCAGCAGATTCTGTTTGATACATAGCATTTTTTTAAAGAGAACTCTGTCCATGTTTCTCACAGGAACACAAGGTTCTGCTGACAGGAACCCCTCTGCAGAACTCAGTGGAGGAGTTGTTCAGCCTGTTGAATTTCCTGGAGCCACTGCAGTTTCCTTCAGAGAGCACCTTCCTGGAAGAATTTGGAGACCTCAAAACAGATGAACAGGTACGCTGAGATAAGTTCATGTAGATGCACACCGCAGACTGTGAAAAGCAGCCACAGGAAGTAGTGGTGTTTATCGTAAATGCATCCAAACATTGCTTCCTTTCTCTGAAGCTCTTTTGTCTTTTGTTGTGTTGTTTGACATCAGCTGTGTTTTATTTGCTCTTGTCCTTTTCTTTTCCCAAAGCAGTAAGACACTGGATTTAGACAAACACGTTCAGTGTGGACATAAAGATGAAGAAAGATGCTTTTCTCCAGAAAAGCAAAAAAAAAAAAAGTCTGTATGTAGCATTTGCATTTATATCACATTCCCGCCTCCTCCTGTGTTCTGTGCAACAGGTGAAGAAGCTTCAGGCCATTCTGAAGCCCATGATGTTGAGGAGGCTGAAGGATGATGTGGAAAAAAACCTGGCGCCTAAAGAGGAGACCATCATAGAGGTATGACTCTGTGTGTGTGTGTGTGTGTGTGTGTGTGTGTGTGTGTGTGTGTGTGTGTGTGTGTGCGTGTGTGTGTGCGTGTATGAAAAGAAAGTTTTGTTTTGGCTGAATGATTTATTAATATCATGACAAAAGCTTCATGAAGGTCGCTCCAGTTATAAGTGCGAAAATCAGATTATTATTTTTTTAATCAGAATCACTCGTCTTTAACACAAGTTTTATTTCATCATATTTAACATGTTCTTAAACACAACTAAATTCTAAATTAAATTATAATTAAATTAATAACTAATTCATAACCATAATTATACTAATAAATGTCTGTTGAGTTATTCTAAGACACTTGATGACAACAAAAGACCTACATTGAAAGAATGGGTTAATGCAGTGACGGAAACAGCATCTTATGGATGTTTGCTCAGTAGAATAAATGGAGATCAGGAGAAAGGAGTGTCTCCCTGGGACTGGTTATGGACTCGTATCAAAATGGGAAGATAAACTGACATAATTATGAACTTGCTCTGTGATCATGTGACCCTGTAGAGTGATGCATGAGGACGTATGGGTGACATGTTTTCATTGGTTGTTTGTTTTCTTCTCTTTCCTTGTGGAGTTATTTGTTATTTCTTTCTTCATGTACTGGAGTCCACCTCAATATTGTAAAAAATATTTTATGCCCGGAAAATAATATATGCCATGTACAAAGCCTTTAAAAGTAATAAAAACTTGAATTTAAAAAAAAAACAAAAAAGATTTAATTAACATGGGGGAAAAAAATCCAGTGTGTGATTTCAGTGGTTGACACTGTAGCCTCAGAGGGTTTACCCCAGAAAAGTTGGGAGGCCAGGTGGCGAGTAACTTTTGACAGGGGCCAACAATACACTTTGATTTGATTTTGATGCTTTCAGTGCAGCTAAGTTAAATTAAAATATGTTTTCAGGACAAACAGTAGCATTTGGTCTCATATGCAGGTGGAATATGATGAAGCTTTGGTGTGTATGTGGTTTGAGTGACTGAAATAGGAGGACAAAAAGATTTTTGCATGGGGCCCCCCAAAAACTAGAAACAGCCCTGCTGACTGTTGTGTCTGCTAGATGAGATGTAGCTGTCATGGGGAGCAGCATTATCAGGAAGTTGGTGAGAAATTGCTCAACTTTAGTAACATGATTTGAGCTGTTGCGAAATTTTGACCCCTCATAGTTAACGTAACATTAATGTTATAATCAGCTCGCTCACTGAAAACACAGAGGTGAGCTGCTGACTCATTAGAGTTTACTGTAATGTTAAAGTTAACATCTAACAGTTAAACATTGGCTACCTGTTAACATTATACTAGCAAGCTAAGTGTTGCAGCTACGGCTGTCATGAGGTCAGAGGCTGGCGGCTGTGTGCGTGTGTGCAGTCAGTTTCATTTCCATCACTGTTCATTGTAACGTCAGCAGGGTGTTTGTCTTTACTCTCCAGGCTACTGTAGTTTAAGAAACATCTTAAATAGACATCTTAGAAAGTTCCCTGATGCGTGAGCCAGGTTGGGGGTCAGTTTAGAGCAGGTGGGCTGCAGGGCTTGTGATACACTGGCAGAAACTCTGCCTCATGGCTAAAGGATGCTGAGATCAAACAGGTGCAGGTTAGGTGAACCAGAAATTCTAACATTGCCCTCAGTCCTGAATATGAATGTATGCATGTCAGCCATCCGAAAAACAAGTTGTAAGTTGTATACTATAAATAGATGATTGGATGGTTTTGGTAATGTCTAATATTCCACTATAGAAATCACAACGTAATGTATGATTAACTGTAACTGCTAAGTCGTTAGATACGAGGTGGAGACAACAAACAACAGAAGTAACCTTACATATCATCTGCCTGTATACCAAACTAAAGCTGGACTTGTTTCGTCCTTGTGGTGTTCCTCCTGCAGGTGGAGCTGACCAACATTCAAAAGAAATATTACCGAGCCATCTTAGAGAAGAATTTTTCCTTCCTGTCCAAAGGAGCAAACCAGCACAACATGCCCAACCTCATTAACACCATGATGGAGCTCCGCAAGTGCTGCAACCACCCTTACCTTATCACAGGTGAGAACACACACACACACACACACACACACACAGAAAAGGACTCCTTGAATGCTGGAATCACCCATAGTTTCCAGAGTCATTAACCTTGTTCTTCCCTGGTTGTAAGTGAGCCTCTTTAATGACACATCAGTAATAATGAGCAATTAATTAAGGAACTATAATTACATAGCGCTGCTTTGCAACAGTAACATTTGTTCAACCAACAGGTAGTGGGAACGAAGAAAATTAGAAACTGCGATGGTGAGAGAGAATGACACCAAGAACTTAATTATTTTATTTGCAGTTAATTACCGCCCTCTCCATTCCTCTATCTCAGCAGTCTGAAACTTCTCGGGTTGCAACGGTATGAGATTTTCACGGTGGGTTAACGGTCTCAGAAAATATCACAGTTTCACAGTATTAAGGCCCATACACACCGAACCGGGAACTAGCAGTGACAAAAGCAGACTGTTGGGTTGCCAAAAAGTTGCACATGAACACACCGCAAAGACTACAGCTGGTGGCCAACCATCACGCACATTCTGCGCCTGCATGGGGCGGAATAACTCTCCACACTAGCAGACGGTCGTCTGTATTTGTGATTTTAAAAGGCAAACTGGAAGACTGCCTTGATGCTAGGTAGCCAGTTAGCACGTACACAACAAAATCCAATCCAGTGTTAACAGGACAAAGCATCACAAAATGTTTCTGCTGAAGAGCTCTATGGCTAAAGAAAAATAATCTGACCTTATGTAACAAGTTCGTTTCAATCTCACTCCCTCTTGACTTTAGCTTTTTTTTTTACTTTCCTCACTTCTGTTTTTCGTCTCTGAGCTGAACTGCCAGTCAGAGTGACTTCATTCACTGATAGGCTCGCTATCGTAGACACTGATTCATCATGCTGAATCTACTAAAAGAAAACACGGTGGGACACACCATGCTGATTAAGGCGAAAGATGCTCACCAACAACCCTACATCTTCCTTTGGAAAATAACAAAATGAAGGTTAAATTCTCCGATCAGTTGCATTTACATTACATAATTCAATATCCGAGTTAAGTAAATGTACACGGTATGATAACTGTCAATTTTGATTTCACAGTATGCCTTGAACCTGGAACACTGCTGCAACCCTATCCCTCTCTCTGACCTCTCTCTTCTTGTCTTTCAGGAGCAGAGGAGAAGATTCTGGAAAGTTTCAGGAAGGTCTACAGTCCAGACGCCATGGACTTCCAGCTGCAGGCCATGATTCAGGCAGCTGGTAAACTGGTGCTGATTGACAAGCTGCTGCCCAAACTGCTGGCCGGGGGACACAAAGTCCTGGTCTTCTCCCAGATGGTGCGCTGTCTGGACATCATGGAGGACTACCTCATACAAAGACGGTGAGGAGGGGTTACACAAACAGAATGGAGATTTAGGAGAGATAAACAAAGCATGTGAATAAAAATATCCGTCAGAAAGGAGAAGGCTATAAAGATACATTTATTACTCTTGACATCATAAAGGCATTTCTGTGTGTTCTTCAGCTACACATACGAACGTATTGATGGTCGCGTGCGAGGGAACCTGCGGCAGGCGGCCATTGACAGGTTCTGCAAACCCGACTCAGACCGCTTCGTTTTCCTGCTGTGCACCAGAGCCGGTGGGCTGGGAATCAACCTGACAGCTGCAGACACCTGCATCATCTTTGACTCCGACTGGAACCCTCAGAATGACCTGCAGGTGAGCAGAGAGCTTGAAGAGATGACATTATATTCTGTTACATCACATACAGGTGGATGACGTCAGTTTTATCAATACATACTGTAGTTCTGCTGAAGAGACGAGACTGTCAGAGGTTAAACAACCCATTTGTGCTTGGTGGAAGTGTTCTCGGGACTTACCTAAAAAAAAGTGAAAAATAAGTTTTCCGGGGCACTGAGTAGCTCACCTGGTAGAGCAGGCGCCCTGTTTACAAAGGCTATCTCTTTGCCGCAGCAGCTGTGGATTTGATTCTAATCTGCAGCCCTTTGCTGCATGTCTTCTCTGTCATCCTGTAAATCCACAACAACAAGCTTTTGCTTCCATGTTAACAATATTTTTCATATATGTATTAAAGCTTTGTAACCCCAGTCAGGTTGGCTCACATCACATGTTCAAATAACACACCTACACTGTGCAAATGCATCCAATACCATTCTAATGTCTGACTGCGTTCACATTCACGATGCATTATACTGTTTTTATGCTGAACATCTGTCTCTGACTCGTTCCACATCAGGCCCAGGCACGCTGCCACCGGATTGGTCAGAGCAAAGCAGTTAAAGTCTACAGGCTGATCACGAGGAACTCATACGAGAGGGAAATGTTTGACAAAGCCAGTCTGAAGCTGGGATTGGACAAAGCTGTCCTCCAAGACATCAACCGCAAGGGAAGCCTCAACGGGGTAAGAGAGTCTCATTGGACGCCGTCAGGCTGTTGAATGTTACATTTAGAGATTCGCCAATTTATTGGGTAAACATCAGCATCAGCCGATATTCGCTTCGTTGGCGAATAAGATGACATTCACTGATAACAGAGGCTGATGTTTTTCTGTTGTATCGCATCAATTTTACACCGGCTAAAAAGCAGGGCTTGAGACAAACGTTGTCGTGTCGTCCGGGGGGACAATAGAAATCGTGTTTGGGATGAACAGATCCTCCCAGGGACAAAAGAACACAGTAAACTCACCATTGATGTGTCAGCATATGTTTCCCTGACAACGCCACATGGTAAACAACAAATGGCCGAAAGAGGTCGCATTGAATAACATTATGATGCTTTCAATCTCTGTTCAATAAAAATTAATATTGGGCAAGGGTAAATGCTATAGTTCTCATCATATGTGCAAACGTTAATTTGTAAATTTTAGTTTTTAGGTGAGAATCGTTTTTCAAATACAGTTTTTTTTAAAGGAGAAATTTGTTGGATGTTCACATCAATCCCTAGTTATAATGTATGTAAGATTCTTTGAGGGATTTGGTCAGTGTCACAATGTTCCAGTTGTACGTTGGTCAGATATAAATCGAAGAAAAATTCTTGGGGTTGTCTGTTACTACAGGTGCAGCAGCTTTCTAAGCTAGAAGTGGAGGATTTGTTGAAAAAAGGAGCGTACGGAGCACTGATGGACGAAGAAGACGAGGGCTCCAAGTTCTGTGAAGAAGACATTGATCAGATACTGCAGAGACGAACTCAGACCATCACCATCCAGTCTGAAGGGAAAGGCTCCACGTTCGCAAAGGTAGAAATTCTGAAACATTAAGTAAAAATAATCCATTCACAAAACCCCAACGACTACAACACATCGATCTAACAACAAGCTGATCAGAAAGGCCAGTGACTTTGTGGGGTTGGAGCTGGACCCTTTGACAGCAGTGTCAGACAGGAGGATGCTGTCAAAGGTGCGGGCGATACTTCAGCATGGCTCTCACCCTCTCCACAACGCTCTGGTCGAACAGAGGAGCACCTTCAGCCAGAGACTGATTGCTCCTAAATGCACCACTGAGCGCCACAGGAAGTCATTCTTACCTGTGGCCATTAAACTGTACAACTCCTCCCTCTGATGATCGGACTCATTTGGCTTTTTATAAAACAAAACACACAATATAATTACTCATTCTTATTTCATCTATAACGCTACAACCATTTCATTGTATATTGTATATATTTCAGATTGTCTACTTTACTATTTTATTATTTATTTTATTTTATTGTCTACTTTAATATTTTATTTTATTTTAATGTCTACTTTAATATTTTATTTTATTTTATTTTAATGTCTACTTTAATATTTTATTTTATTTATTTCATTGTCTATTTTAGTATTTTATTTATATCTTCATCTTTATCTCTTGTTTCCATTCGTGCTGTATTTCTATTTCTACTTTGCACGGAGCATTGAAACAAAAACAATTTCCCCCCGGGGATTAATAAAGTATTCTGAATCTGAATCTGAATCTGAATAATGAAGGAAAAGGGTGTAATGTTATCGAGAAAATGACAGCACAAGATGTTTAATACATTGTACATCATATGTATACATTGATGTGACCTTGTAGATGTATATTTCAATATTTCTTAAATTAGATGGACAGTTGGTATTGTGGCTTCAAATGGTGATTTATCTTGTCCCTTAGTCTAAATCCTGTTTCAGACGCCTTTTGGAGGACACACTGAATACTTTGAATATTTTGGCATGAAGATCAAATGTGAGGATACGAAAAACATTATAGCTTCAGTCAAAACATTTGGTTGAACGCCATCATCTGTCAAAACCCAGTTAACATCAACCAGAATCTGACTCTATTTTTTCTATTTTTTTGTCACTGATTCCTTCTGTTTTTCTTTCCTCAGGCCAGTTTCATCTCATCTGGTAACAGAACAGACATTTCTCTGGACGACCCCAACTTCTGGCAGAAATGGGCCAATATCGCTGAGGTGGAGATCGACTCCAAATCAGAGAAGGTACAGAGAGATGGAAGGAAGAACAGATTTAAGAATGAGAGCCGTAGAGGAGGAAAGTCTTAAGTGCTATATTGTAGGAAACTGGATTTGCTTGAGTTTCTTAAAGACGTTTGACCTTTTATCCAAGAGTCCTTCAGTTCTGTACTCAAGACGCCTCTTGAATGAGAGGTGAAACCTGTGATATAACGCTGAAGATTACCATGAACTGGATGACTGAGCATCTTAACCAACGAGAGGAGGAAAGGAGCAAAAAGAAGTAGTGGGGTTTCAAAGAAAAGGGACAGAAAACAAGACGATGTAGAGTGCAGTCTGCACCAGGCGGCTGCGTTCAAGCTTCCCAAGCTGATTGCAGCCACTCTAGACAATTCTTGTAATTCCAGCGGCCGTGTTTCAAAAGATATCATATAATTATGAGGATAAATATATTTGAAGTAACTGAAACAAAGCCACAAATCTTTGATTGATGTCGTTCTTAACTGGACTTAGAATGATATTAACTTTGTCTGTAGGCGACAGCACAACAAAGCAGGAAACAACAACACAATTAAAAAAAATCAAAAATGAACCATTTAATTATATATGTCAAGGGAAAATGACCAAATCAACCAAGTCTACAAAATCAAGCAGGTGAAACGCTCTGTGGTGCCAAAGTGGTATGACGCCCTGCAGCAAACGGAACAAAACCAGGTGGAGAGTTGCGCCTGGTGGAACTGTCCCTCCTGGCTCCCTTACAGTCAAGATGGCAGTGAGGATAACAAAACGTGGACTAATTAATCAAGCAACGTGTCCGACTTTAGTAGATCATAACATATGGGGTGTGGAATTTATCTGCAGGTCCTTGGGTTCATAATGGGTCCAAACTTTTTTTTTATGGATGTCGGTTTTAGAGCAGAGACAAAGCCCAAAATGTGTCCTGCAACCAGTGGTAAAGCTTGTTGTTTTAAGCGGCCCCTACCGGTTGGTTAAGAGGAGTGAGGAGTCAGCAGTCAGTGACGATAGAAAACCATTTTTTAACAATTACGAATCACCACGACCTCTCAAGGTCCTTGAATATACAGTCACAAATGTGCACACAAACTATTAGGCTGATTGGTCCAGTAATTTGTGACATTAGCTGTGGACAAACAGATACACACAATTACATATTTACTCACATACTCACACACACACAAGCACATGCATGATTATAATAATGAAGGAGATAAAAAGAAGAAAGTGACAGAGAAGGGAGCAAAAAAATAGGACATTGAAGGGCAAACAGGACCAATAGTGAGCTTTAACTACTGAGCACGAGTAATGCCGTCTTGTAAAGGTAAGAAGAAGGAAGGATGAGAAAGTGAGATGAGGAACAACACAAGGCTTGGAAAGAAAAATGGATCTGTTCCAAGTTAGTGAACACAAAGATGGAGGGAGGGGAATTTAAGCTGAGCTCCCAAACTGGGAAAAGAGTAAACAAGGGCAGGATGGGAATGAGGATAAAGGAATCCCACTCTTCCTTCCCTTTTCCCTCCCCTCCCCTCCCCTCCCCCTCTTAACAGATGGACTGCCTTAATGAATGAAGCAGATTGCACACTGAGCACTGCTACTGTCTTCATACCTCGTGTGTGTGTGTGGACCATGAGTCGTGCCTTGAATCCCTAATAATTCACACCCCCCAGCAAACAGAAGTCGTGTGTGTGTTGGTGTGTTTTTTTTTAGTCTCTCCTCAGGTGTCCTTCTCTTATGAATCCAACCAGAGGATAAAAACTTGGACAGCTTTCTCCTCACTTGCTTCATCTTGTCACTACAAAGTCTAGCTTTCACTGTTGTCTCTCTCATCCAGGAGTCCTTGGTGATCGACACGCCGCGGGTGAGGAAACAGACGCGCCACTACAACTCCTTTGAAGATGACGAGCTGATGGAGTTCTCAGAGCTGGACAGTGACTCAGAGGAGCGGCCGTGTCGGACTCGCCGCCTGGGCGAACGCACCCGGCGGTACCTCCGTGCAGAGTGCTTCCGGGTTGAGAAGAACCTGCTTATCTTCGGGTACGACATGAGACGTCATGGCTGCATATTTAAGGGCTGTACACATGCCGCGTCTTTAACCGTCTGGAAAGCAAGGGTTCTGGTGCTGGGTGCTACTCTGTGCCAACATTCAAGGGCGCAAAGGCAGGTTGTGTCTGAGGTTGCTGAGCTGGATAAAGGCTAAAGTGAACAGATATGTTTTTAGCTTTCTTTTAAAAATATTTAGCGAGCTAGCTTCCCTGATATCTATAGGTAGTGTGTTCCATAGTTTTGGGGCGTAATTGACAAAGGCTGCATCCCTGATCTTCTTCCGGCTGTTGATGGGAACCTCCAATAAACCAGCAGCAGATGAGCGCGGTGTTCTTGGAGGCAAATAGTGAACAAGGGAGTTAGCAATGTAGCTCGGTCCCAGCCCATGCAGGGCTTTGTATACAAGGAGGAGGAGCTTAAAATCAATTTTAAATGTAACAGGAAGTCAGTGCAGAGCAGCTCAGACTGGCCTGATGTGCTCCTACCTCTTGGTTCTGGTTCATAGCTGAGCTGCAGAGTTTTGAATGAGCTGAAGTCTCTCTCTGTGGTTTTGAAGGTCTTGTACATTAAGTGTGAGTAGAAATGCTCTCAAGTTGACATCTGATTGCCGGCAGTACCTCGTCCTTGGACTGCGCAGCATAACAGAACAGAAAAATGACAAACCATGTTAAAAGCGACTCTTTCATTTCTCTCTTAACGCTCTGAACACACATCCCTCACTCCCAGCAGCCAGAGTCTTAAACCTTCTGGGATGACAGCAAACTGATGCTCAGTCCAATAAAAAGCTACCTGTGAGCGCATATATTTTTTTGTTTGCAAGGTTGGGGTGTTGCAAACATAAATGAGGCAAAATACACCAGAGCAAACTTCACTGTGGTTTGAAGTGAAGACAATAAATTCTTTACTCTGTGATCAGACAGTTACTGTTTAATGTTTATCGCTGCTGTATTTATTTATTTCTACGTTGTTCCCTGTCTACATTTTCACTTCCCTCTCCATATTCACCACTGGGTCTCTCCAGCTGGGGTCGGTGGAAGGACATCCTAAATCACGGTCGATTCAAATGGCATCTGGCAGAGAGAGACATGGAGGTGATCTGTAGGTAAGTAGAGCAAGTCTTTTTATATAATTTTACTCTACAGAGATTCTGAAATGCCAGAATGATTTACAAGGAGTGCAACGATAAAAATGTCACGCAAGCAACAGGACACCAGGGTCAGCGCTGTAATATCCCAAAAATATACCTGCAAACATCACTGTTACGTGAACATAAAAACATGCAAATATTTTAAGATAATCTTTTCTGTTCTGCAGGGCTCTGCTGGTTTACTGCCTGAGACACTACAAAGGTGATGACAAGATCAAGAGCTTCATCTGGGATCTGATTACACCCACAAAGGAAGGCCAGGACCAGGCGCTGCTAAATCACTCTGGTTAGCATTTCACTCTTTACTTGCACTGTAATGTTAGTGGGGCTGTAACTGTTTGTGTATATGTACTGGGAACTATGGTGCTCAGGTCATGGTTCACTGCATGCAGAATAGACAGTATAGACTGATGCATGTAATGTGTAATGCAAGTGAAAAGCCGGTGCTGGAAGAACCTCCTGAGGGTTCCCGGTCAGCTACAGCGGTGGCGGAGAGTGAACTGTGTTTAAGACACGGACAGTGTGACAGTTTACCATTGTAGGGTCTGTGAGTGGGAACACATGAAGCATGCTAACTAGGGTGGAGCAGAGTATTCGGATTAAACGAGTATCCAGTACAGATAATTTAATTTTTACGAGGACACATATCGTATGAGTAGAATGTGTCAAAATCTGTACTTGTGATGACCTGTGATCAAATACGATCTGAAGAATGTTCTGTAAATAGTTCTCGAATTAATAATAACTATAGCAACTTCTGATCAAGCCATATTAGGTCCCACCCACGTTTGATTTAAACTCTCCCCGCTTCCTTCTTAAAGCCCGCCCACTCCGAGTACAAATAGGGACACAGATAATCTAGTTGTTTGAACAATTACAGATACAGATTAAGGTTGTTCTCGCTCATCCCTAATGCTAACGCACATCTGATGCCATCACCCAGATGTGCTGATCACTGGATTGATTGGTGTGTCTTTGACACTTACACTACTGTCTGTTCTAAGTAAATGAAAAGTAATGTATTCATTTATTTTTTCTCGCTGTACCAATCGTGCACTGAGCTGTCATTTTTGCGTACCGTTACACCAGTAAATGTTTGCCCATGTCGTTATACTCCACCACTGCAGTTAGCACTGAAAGAGTACTCCACAGTTTGAGCATTGTACTGCTATAACACAACATACAGTTAAGAAAAAGGATGAAAACTGATGCAGCAGAACCTGAGATCATCTTTTTATTATTCCACACCTGCAATCCACATGTCTAGATTACCCACAGTGCAGCAACCACCAAGAGTTCAGTCTGAGATTTGGTTGTGTGGCTAATTTAGCCTCTGACCACTAGACTCACCCTTCACTTCTTTGAACTCCACACCTTCAGGTTTTATTCGTTTTTAAACTTGTAGTCTTCAGAGCCAGCCGATGCTGACTCAGATGACATTTTCCAGATTTCCTCATAGCTCCCTCTGGAGCCACAAAAGTCCTGATACTATCATTGATGTGTAACACTGGTGGAGTTCTTCTCTACCACTTTCAGAATTATTTTACCTCAGAAGCTCCCACATTGTCTTGCGCTTCATTGGATGATGGCATGTGCTTCATATATACAAAATCCATGGCAATGCCCTCACTGTCCCAGGTTTATCAGCTCCTGTTCCTCGGGGTCGGAAGGGGAAGAAGCTGAAGAATCAGCTGAATGTTCCGGAGGTGAAGAACGCCGACTGGCTCGTCCACTGTAACCCTGAGGTGGTGCTGCAGGATGAGAGCTACAAGAAACACCTCAAACAACACTGCAACAAGTCAGTTTACAAATGACTCTACTAACTCTAATTAACAGGACTGAACTACAGTCTGCTGTTGTGTAACCTTGATGATGTAACAGATGAACTTTATCTGTGTGCTGCAACAAGTCTAAAGCCCAGCTCAGACCAAAGATTCCCAACGAGATGAAACAGTTTTAGAGTGTTGCAGAGAAAAGTTGCGGCGGTGTGAACTGGCCAGTCTGAGCTCGACTCAAGCCAGCTGATGGTGTCACCTGCCACTCAGCCGGTCACATTGCCAGCGGTTGGTTTAAGAATGCAAAACATGTCAGAGTAAGCCTCTACAGTAAAGAGTGACTCATGTTAGGTCAGCACCATGGTCTGTATTCAGTAATAAATACATAGATTACTTTTCTGATCACCAGAAGGGAAAAGGGGACACATACCTAGCGGTGCAGGAGCAGTGTCGATTCACAGTTTCGCCAATTTTTGTCTCTACGTTTGTTTGTTTGAGGCCAGAAGCCTCAATTCATGTCATTTTGCCTTGTTCATAAAAAAAACAAATCATCATGAATATATCCTTCCACCACATTCTGTAGACCTTGCTGTCGGCTTTTTGAAGCTGTATTGCCCGACGCCCAGAAACTGTCTTATAAACACTGCTGCACCCGGCTAAATAGAAGGGTCAATGAAAAGGGTAGAAAGAGACAAAGATCCCTCTGAGCACCATTTGAATAAGAAGAGAAGAAATCAGCAGTTGTTGGTGAAAGAAACTGGAAGCTTAGAATCAAAATGTGTGCAGATTTTAAATAGTAACAGCTTCCTGTTTCAGTGTCAAATGCACAATAATGCTTTCAACAGGCTGGAATTAAAAGACGTGTTGCTTTAGCAAAGCTCTTCTTCAGCGTGCACAGTTGAAACAGAAGGTTAGTCCAGGGTTAGTGCTGATGGAGTATCAGCTGAACGTACTATAAAGTGACGGATCACAGTCTAAACCAATTCAGTCTTATAACTGTAGGACCCAGTTACACTGTTGTGGTTCGATAATGGTCAAGACTCAGTTATGCTTTTCTGGACTGCAAAACAAATACAAAATCCAACAGTATTCTCCCATCATGCAACACTGTGGAGACATTCACGACATGCAAGTGTTAATCATCTAATTCTTCTTTTAGGGCCGAAACTGTTTCAGATGTAAACAAAACATTTGGTGTCTGAATTACAGTGTTATTCAAATCTCTTTTAAATCTTTTGAATGCCAGTGTAACTAGTTTAGTTTGTAATTTTTGAGCAGCTATTAGAGATGCTACAGATTGTATGAGAATGTCATCTTTTACTGTGGTGTATTTAAAAAGTACAACCTGTCTCCCTCCACAGGGTGCTACTGAGGGTGCGCATGTTGTACTACCTGAAGGTGGAGGTGTTGGGTGAGGCTGCCAATCAAGCTCTAGAGGGGATACCTGCCAGGTATGAAGCAGCCACCATGTTCTTCATATTAAAAATTAAACTTTGTTGGACTATTTGTTCAGATAGTTGGTTGATTTGTTTAACTGTCCCGACACTTGATGCAATATTTGGCCGGATGAGACTGAAAGCGCTCAGACGATCTGTCAAAGTGCCATTTGGAGTTGTGACAGAGTTTTTGTTTGCTTGTGTTTTCAGTGTCCTGACTCGACACTGACGTCACTGACTGACAGATTGATTATTTGCACGTGTGTCTGTTTGTGTTGACAGTAAACTTGAGGTGTCACTACCCGACATCGACTACATAGAGATTCCAGCTCCATGGTGGGATGCGGATGCTGACAAGTCTCTCCTCATAGGAGTCCACAAACACGGTGAGAGCCGCTGTCAACTTACGCGCCCATCATTTTTTGACATGAAAGGTTGCTGAGCACTGTTGTTTCAGTTTTTGGGAATTATTTTTCATGTTGTGATTTCAAAAGGAACTATTATGCTCATAATCAAGTTCATACTTGTATTTTGGGTTTCTACTATAACATGATAACATGTTTTAATGTTAAAAACCCACTATTTTCCTCATTCTGTGCTGGAATATTTGTATTCACTTTCTGTCTGAGATGCTCCATTTTAGCACCTGTCTCTGTATCCCCCCCCCCCCCTTCTAAAAAAAGCCCAGTCTGCTCTAACAGGTCAGCGTTTCAGGGTCTTCCACACCTCAGTGTCTCTGCATCGTCATCGTTGCAGCTGAGGAATGACTTTTTTTGGAATAATGTTATAGCAGCACGCCCTATTGTGAAAAATCACCAATTAAAGCTTCTAAACCAAGATCTTCACAATCAGACATGTTCCAGCAGGAATACGATGCAAAAATCGGAGAGAAAGTACCGACCAAGATTACAGAACAGTAACATGAATCTATCATAAGCTAATGACAGCTTGTAGCCAAAGCAGAAAAAACATTGAAACAGAATGTTCAGAATGGTCTGACGCCTGAGGTTTGGCTCAGAGGGATTACTTTACATATGCTTACCTCATTATTTGAAACTTTGGCAATGTGCAGAGTGGTGCAGGACTGAGTCCGTATTTTCTGCAATATTTCCAAACTGAAATACAATGGAAAAATCCCATTGGCATTTTGTCAAGGGCACCAGAGTGATGTTAACGTCCAGGTTGGTCCACAAATAAACATCATCCCTGCAGCACTGTATGGGTCGTCTTGAAAGATTTCTTAAGATACCCAACACTGTGACACACTGTGTTGGAAGAGTTGAGAGATTCACTCAAGGCACATCTATGGCATCTGGTGTTTATGTATGTGTAGTGTATTTGGCTCCTGATTCAACATCAGACCTTCATGGGACAATAAACCGTAATCTGGGTTTTGTGGGCGGGTGATCCACCACTATCATTTGCAAGGGAACACTCCACTGTGTCTGTGTTTTTAACGGGGTGTGTGTTTGCATTAACAGGCTATGAGCGGTACAACGCCATGCGTGCAGATTCAGACCTGTGTTTCCTGGAGAGAGTGGGAATGCCAGACGTCACAGCGCTGTCTGCTGAGCAGGGAGGAGGGGAGGGGGCCTCTGACATGGCTGACAGGTGAAGTGCTCACATGTTCACACACACACTGACACAAGTTAAAAGATTGTCCTCATGTATATAAACACACTTATCTCATAAATGGGTTTCTCCTGTTTCAAAATCATTTTGTTCCCTTTTTATTTCCACATCTATTTTTGTGTTTCATATTGTTAAGGAATAATGAATCAAAGTCTTAATGAAGGTCACACCATGACCTCCAGCATGCACTGGGGCAGTTTGAAGCAACGGAATGAGAGTCAGCACCTCTAAGTTTGAAACCATGGTGCGCTGCTGGAAACTGGTGGATTGCCCTCTCTGGGTATGGAGAGAGTTACTACCCCGAGCGAGGGAGTTTAAGTGTCTTGGGGTTTTGTTCACGATTGAGGGTAGAATTGAGCTTGAGATGGATTGGCGGTTTGCCGTGATGTCTGCAGTGATGCTGGTGCTCTGCCGGGCCGTCGTGGTGAAGAGACAGCTGAGATGGAAGGCGAAGCTTTTGGTTTACTGGTCCATCTATGTCCCAACCCTCACCTATGGCCATGAGCTCTGGGTAGTGACCGAAAGAATGAGGTCACGGATACAAGCGGCCGAAATGAGTTTTTCCGAAGGCTTAGAGATAGGGTGAGGAGCTCGGACATCTTGAGGGAGCTCGGAGTAGAGCTGCTGCTCCTTGGTGTCAAAAGGGGTCAGTTGAGGTCTTTCAGGCATCTAATCAGGATGTGTCTTAGGGGCCTCTCGTCAGAGGTGTTCTGGGCACGTCCAACAGCTATGGGAGGCCCTGGGGCAGACCCAAAACATGCTGGAGGGATTATTTATCTCGTCTGGTCTGGGAACGCCTCGGGGTCCCCCAGGAAGAGCTGGAAAGTGTTGCTGGGGAGAGAGACGTCTGGAATACTGGCTTCGGATAAGTGGTTGAAAATAGATGGATGGACATTTATACTGAGCTGCAGTGCTTTAAAGGTCTTTAAAGGCATTAGATTTAAGTTTCAGATACCTGTCGACACCCTGCGTCACATGTAGTCGGGACAGGTACAGAAATTAGAAACCCTCAGGAGTCACTTCCACCTTCCACCATCCATTCTCTCTTTTACTCTCTGTAGTAGTGTTCACAGCAGCAGGTGCCAACACTGGTGCGAAAAACACATCCTGTCCTCTCCGATGTTTGTTTTTATCAACACTGCCACCTCTCCACCCCCACAACTGCTTTACATACCGAGTGCGAAGAACAATATTATAAACACAGAAATACATGCAGAGTGTGACATCAGGGTGCTAATTATACTGAAAACAATCAGACCATGTTTTAATGACGGCTGTGACGGGGCATTTCTATAGATGACAGACTGACACACACACACACACACACACACACACACAGACACAGCTGCAGGTGTATTTCCATAAAGTGTTTGATATTTGCCATAACCTACCACTGAACTCTAAAAGCTATATGGTTCTTCTGTCCTCACAAGACATATTTTCTGCTAGTTTCACTGTACTTGAGTCTTGCAAGAAGAGCCTATACTGACAAAAGCCAGAGAGGAATAATTGACAGAGAGAGTGCGCCAGAGAAAAGAGGAAAGCGTAGACAGAGCGTGGGAAATGTATTTTCCGGGTGCTGCTGCTCCGGCTGACAGCAGCGCTATGAAGATGAGACGCACGCATTTGAACGTGAAGCTTTGATCCTCTTCCTGGAGGTAATTGAAGTTGTCATTCGCTTTATTACCTGTTCAACCTGAAGCTGTTCCCAGCTGAGCACAGCGACTGTGCGGCAGGAAGATCTTCTGGTATCAAAATATTAACTCAGCAGGCTTCCAGCACAGGTTTGAAACAGGATGAGGAGAAATAAATAAATATATGCAGAAGGGAGACGTCTGTGCACACAGAGGCCGCGGCGCAGTAAACGTGGCCCCTCAAAATCTGCATAAAATGTTCACAGGAAGTTTTTCACATTTCTTCTGTGATATCTTCAGTGTGTCCACACGACAGCACAGCACTGAAGGTATGGAAGACAAACTTTGTATTTATGAAGCTTAAAAGTTTTGGAAGGTAGAGTCTTTTTACAGAAGAAAAGTCAAGTCTTTTTAGAATTGTTCACACTTTAGTTGTAGAGTGACTTTTATTTCACTTTTGCACATGCTGTTTGTCCAGGGCAGTTCTTTTCAGAGCTCCAACACAGCAGTTTGCAGCTTTTTTAAAGGTCATGTGAGGTCACGGACCCCAATTTGATCAGATTTCACCTCAAGAACCTCCATCTGAAAACAATATGAGTGTTAGATATACTGTAGGGCTGCACCTAGCCATTATTTTTTCATCCATTTATCAAACAGTTATTTTTTAAATTAGTCAGTTAATTAAATTCATTTTAAATTAGTCAATTTAGACTAAAGACTAATTTATAGATTATTCCAAGGATTATTTTCCTATTACTTGATTATATAACAGTTTACCCCCAAATAAATATTAGAATCTCACCTCAATATTTAATATTTTATTGAGTCATCTTGACTTAGAAACAATGAGAAGTTCTTCTTCTTCTTCTTCTTCTTCTGCTTCTCCTCCTCCTCTCCCTCCTTCTTCTTCTCCTATTTCTTCTTCTCCTTCTATTTCTTCTTCTCCCTTCTTCTTCTTCTTCCTCTTCTTCTTCTTCTTCTTCTTCTCCTTCTTCTTCTTCTTCTCCTCCTATTTCTTCTTCTCCTTCTTCTTCTCATTCTTCTTCTTCTTTTCCTTCTCCTCCTCTCCCTCCTCCTTCTTCTCTTCCATAGCTGGGAAGTAGATATAATTTAGTGTTTTTAAGTTATATACCTTGTGTTTATTTAACCTTTAAATATTAATGTACCTCTGATATTCCTCAATAAATAGGGAAATAATATGACATCCTGTTTCTAAGTTAACATAACTGAGAAACATGATGTCATGTTATTTCCCTGCTGTGTTGTGTTTTAATTCCTGTCATTTTCTGTTATGATAATATAGTAATTTTTCATTAAGGCAGAATCACATGGAGGCTGTTTGTGTTTTTCTTTTCCATCCTTTCATTCTTACGTTTCCTGCGGTGCATGGAGATGTGCTGTCATGTTCAGGTGCTTTGTTTTTGGTTTAAAAACTTTTCCTCTTTACATATTTTGGTGCCTCAGGAAATGTTTCCTCCATGCTGTTTCTAACACATAACAACAGTTGCACAGCGAGCGCTCGTCTCTGATTTAATCTGCTTTCTTTACATCTGATCACATTTTTTATGGCTCATATTCTGGCAGGCGTTTTCGTTGCATCTCCGCATCAGAACAGCGTTCTCTTGTTCTGTTTTCTGTTCTCTGACATGTTTTATCTTCAGTCAAACATCAAGGAAACTCAGTTTGTCATAGAGTGTGCCTTTACTCTCCACGTTTCCTGTCCCATTTAATTCTAACCTCACACATGTTGCCTTCAGTTGTACAAGACATTGTTCAATAGGATATTTTTTTCTCAAGATCTACAGATACTTGGAGGCCCACATCTTCTCTACCAGTGGCTAAACAGTCTATCAGTGTTTGATCCTTTTTGTTGAACTAGAACCAGCACTTAAATTGCCGTCGCCAAACACACCAGACTACATATGAATAAACAGTAAATTTAGAGTGTACATAGCCAGTGTATTTTCACATCTGCCTGGCTTAACTAAGGGTTAATTTCAATCAAACCAGAGCTAGTGATTGTTGGAACAGTGGAAATATGAAATAAGACAATTTTTGTGAGGTTTTTTTTGTTTCTGACTTTGAATTTTGTTCTGGTTAAAAAAAAAATGATCTTACTCTTTAACAAAAAGATCTCTCTCTGTAGGATCCTTTCAATAATGTTTTTGGACACTTCTGATAACAGTCTGAGCCCGTCAGTGGCAAAAACAATTACTTTTTATAGGTGTAAATTGATGAGGCAAACATGCCCCGAGTGGTGACATTGCAGCCTGGCAGCTGCTCTCGCTCAATACTGGACCAATTACCAAAAATATTGTTCCCAGTAGTCACTTAGACACAAAAAGAACATGGGACAATGGGGTCCTGAGGTAAAAATACCCCTTTACTCAGGATTTTTAAGTTTATGTAACGTGCAGGAAGCCACACAGCAGCTCCGCAGTGCTTTGTTTTCTCCTGTGGTGTCAAATGATGTGATGTTTTGTTGGCATTCCCTTGAACGCAGACTGTATCTATAGAAGAATGAAAAATTGTCTGAGTTATTAAAGCTTTTTGTCCTCTTGTCTGTTGTTTCTTTTGTCAGTGTGTGCAAAACTGAGGAGGCGAAGGATGAGACTGAAAGCAAAGCTGATGGAGGCGAGGATAGAGACGAGAGCAGCAAGGTGAAGAGGAAGCTCTCCTGAAACCTTTAAAAAAATATCTCTTTCCGTTTGTCTTATTTTGTCCCTCAACCTGAGATTCAGTTTATTCCTTTATGGGTACATTATTTACCTCATCGTACTCCCTTGAGATTAAAGAGTCCAATTTTTGTGGTGTTAGTTAAAATTTCCTCTGGGAGAGTTGATGTTCACCAGACGTGTGTGGCCTGTGGGTACTGTAAAAACAAATGTGTGGAGTTAATGATGCGTTTTAATACAGAACAACACTTTTAGTATCAGAACAGATCATGTTAGATGATGATGATGAGATATTGTGAATCTTTTTATTGCTTATTTTATTGTTTTATTTAGCTTTGCTTTTTGTCGATTTTTTTTTTTTAAACTTCCACGCAACTGCAGTGTATCTGCAACACCGCGTTCTCAGTGTAGAGTTAATGCAGAAAGAATTTTGAAACATCATGGAAACAAATTAAGGGGTCAGATAAATCATCTGTTCTCGTCTTGCTTAATTTATTTAAATGCTTATTAAAGGGGAAACTGCTGCTTTTAAATATCTGCAGCCTGAGATGCAGCATAAATCAAAATGATCCTTTAATCTTATTTCAGATATGAAACATACTTTGGTAACTTGTGAATATAAAAGTGATCTTAAACATGACTTTTACAAATATTTTATAGATAAAGAAGATAACTATTTAAATTGTGACAATAAAACATAAAAATATATAACTGACAGATTTTGTAAACTGAAAATCCTCAGTAATGTTAGTTGATTTTGTTGTGTTTATTCGTTAATTGTTAAAAATGTGTGTGTTTTTATTTCACAGGGAGAGGAAACCTGCTCCAGCACGGACACCTCAGACAAGCCTGACAGTACAGGTCCAGGTGAGACATACTGCGCTGTCATATCCATAAATATAACAGTGCCAAGTTGGTACACAGTAGGTGTGTCACGATACCAGAAATTTAGCAGGTGAAACCAACACCAGTGAAATTCAACACAGTCCAGTACCATGGAAAACAAAAAACAAAACAGCAAATCCAAGCAAATATACTTCAACCTACACACCTTTAGTAAGAACATTGAGATACAATTTATTATTAATTCCTGATGATCTGCCTTGAATACAAAATACTCTATAGCCCCTTTTACACTGCCTGTTCAAGGTGGGAATATCGCACCGTTATGCCGCCTCACCGTTTTGTGTATAAGGTACAATCGCAGAATGGGAAGACAGAGTTATCTGGCCTGAGCTGGGAACAGAGGAAGTAACAATGCTGAAACGATGTCTGGGTGGCACAGGTGTGACATTTTGAACATGTGGTATGTGTTCGACCTGCTGCGGGAGATTTAATAAGTAGCTGATAGCAGTTAGCGGCTAACTCAAAGAAGAAAAGCAGCAGCTAAAAGTGTTCACAAATTGGGAGAACAATGAGGTCTGGGAGCTCTTTACCACGGCGCCAATCTCTCCCCCAGATATTGTCACTTCTGGCTCCAACTAACCAAGATGGCAACAGTCAAAATGCTGAACTTTAGCCGTGAGTCCAAAAACCAATTGGTGAAGTCACATCATTTTTAATCTATGATTTTACCCTAAATTGGACATTTTTCGTGTCTTTACAACCAGAACAAAATGGTACACCCATAGCACCTCAGCACACTGCTGGCGTTAGTAGCAGAGTGTGAATTCATGGCGCTCAAATTGCAAAGAATTTGTGTGAATTTATGTTGCCCTTCAGAAAAAAGGCTTTTCTTGTCAACAAGGGGAGGCAGAGCTGTTGCTGCAGCTGCAATTGTCGTTGTTTCCACCTGTTGTTCTGCGCTTGGAGGCGTTCGTCTTCTTCCTTTGGCATTTAATGGCAGACTAGAACACCTGTAGGCGTATGTGCTTTCCTGTCAGTTCTGGTAGAATTGCATCTTGGGTACCTACGGTATGGGAGAAAAACAAGTACTGTCAGGTTTTCAGAGTTCTGCCATTGCCTTGGTACTGAGGTTCCTGTTCTCGTGACATCCCCAGTACACAGTGTGCGTCCTTTGGGAGAATTCTCAATAAGAACTCAGGCATGCAGAAGCACCCGTACATTAAAGATCCACCGACACACATGAATACAACTTGACAGCTAAAGAACGTCTTGGCATTTGCAGGTCTTACGGGCAATTTAAGCCATCATTTTTTTCAACTTGTAATTTCATTTTTTTTCTGTAATGAGTCAGACATCCCCGTCAGACAATATGATATGATTTCTCTCCGCTGGGTTCCATCTCCCCTTCTATTCATGTCAAGAGGTGCTTTCCCACGACGTTTCATATCTGAACCCATTTCACCTTTCAGCTGCAGTCTTCATTTCACCGCTGCTCTGCCAAGTACGGGCTGATGTGAAATGAGTTTTGATAGTTTTAATGGTGCTCACTGTCTCAGTGGGTACGTTTAATGGACGTCTCATTGTCAAATGGCACTCTGGAGAAGGAGATGGAAAGACATCCACACTCGGATACAAATACCTTGTTACACATTGTTAAATGAGAGACATTACAGACACAGTAATATTGTAAAAATGATCTATATCATTTCAGCCTTTCCTTTAGTATTCAAAACACGTAGGTACTTTAACAGAAAAGCTGGATTGTGAGTCAAAGAGAGCCCGATGTGACCTGCTTTGGTTGATTTGGTACAGGCAGTTACCAGCTCATAAGTTCTGTGCTTTATGGTGAGAATTTTAGGATCTGTTCACATCTGAGCTCGATTAAATAATAATAATAATAATAATAATAATAAATTTTATTTGTAACGCACTTTATATTTAACGAAAAATCTCAAAGTGCTACAACAGCAAGAAAAGAAAAAATAAGTAAAAACAAGAGTTAAAAGCAGTTATCAAAGTAACACGAGCAAAAATTACAGATTAAAAGATTTTTTAAAAAGGTACGTTTTAAGGCCCTTTTTAAAACAATCAATTGACTTTGGAACCCTCAGGTGTTCTGGGAGGGTGTTCCACAGTCGAGGAGCAGAGGAGCAGAAGGCTCGATCTCCCAGTGTGCGGCTCTTAGTCCTTGGGGGGAGAAGTCTGTGGCTGTTGGTGGAGCGGAGTGAGTGTGCTGAGGTCTGGGGGGTGAGGAGTTCTTTGAGGTACTGGGGGGCGTTGCCATGGATGCACTGGAATGTGAGGAGGGAGACTTTGTAGTCGATCCGAGCTGAGATGGGTAGCCAGTGTAGTGAGTGAAGAATGGGTGTGATGTGCTCATATTTACGTACTCTCAGCAGGATTCTAGCGGCACTGTTTTGAATGTGTTGTAATTTTTGTATGCTCTTGCTGGGAATCCCGCTGAGAAGTGCGTTATAGTAGTCTAGTCTGGAGGAGACAAAGGCGTGGACGAGCTTCTCTGCATCTCTTAAGGTGAGTGTGGGACGAAGTCTGGCTATATTCCTCAGGTGGAGAAATGATATTTTGCAGAGGTGATTTATGTGGGCCTCAAAGGTTAGCTGGGGGTCTAACCTGACACCAAGGTTAGTGACTGTTGATGATAGAGGGATGTCCTTGCCAGAGAAAGTAATGCAGGTTATGGAGGAGTTTCGAATCTGATGAGGGGAACCAATGAGGATAGCTTCAGTTGAGTCTTTTATTTAAGACATGTCTGGATTCTGTGTTTTAATAAAGTTAAACCTCTCACAAAGAGACACCTCTTCTTGGCAAATTAAGCAGGAATTCATTTTGGGGTGGTGGCATGAGCACCAAATACTGTTAAAGGGACAGCTGAGCTCAGTGACACTAGATGTCTGGCAGTCACAGCGATCACATCACCCCCGTCCTCCAGAATCTCTACTGTCCCACAACACAACACATCCAATTCAAAGTCCTTCGCATCACTTATAAAGCCTCCATTACTAGGACCCCTCCTACCTCACTGACCTCCTCCACAGTCACACTCCCTCCTGTCTCCACTCCTTTGATTCCAACCTCCTGACTCCACCACTCAGGACCAAGCACTGAACCTGGGGTGACAGAGCCTTCTTTATAGCCGCCCCCTCCCTCTGGAACACTATCCCCAAACACATTCAAGACTGCACCGACCTCTGCCGATTCAAATCAGTCATCAAATCTCCTTTCCTTATTTTAATGATCAATTTCCTTAATTCAGTAGCAAACGTCTTTGTATGGCTGCTTTATGTCTCGACAGAGGTTTGGATTTTAGTGTTTAATATGAAAAAAGCAGTTTGAAGGAAAGAATGTCCGTTGTTAAAGTAAGGTATTCCAGTATAGAAGAACTCACACAATACCCAGTCCTTCTTTACAACAGATTTCTTTTTCACTCAAACTTTGTTCAGACCTTGTAGCAACAGCAGCTTCACACACTTACACACGTGCCCTCGCTGTGCCTTCCCTCCACAGACTCCCAGATGTCGGGTGACTTGTGCGCCCAGGATGGAACCCTGGTCACCACCACGACAACAGGAACAGGGACCGGGGTGGCATCTCTCCATGTAATCCAAGCCCGGCCCCTCTGGCCCACCGGCCCCGCCTTGACTGCCCGTTTACGCCGCCTAATAACGGCCTACCAGCGTTTCACGCTGCGCCGCGAGCCTCTGCTCAGGCACGACTTCCTGCTTCACGATGGCCTCGTCAGCATGGGGATCGGAGGAGCTGGAGCTACACACAGTCATCACTCTGGTGGGCCGCTGGCGTGGCAGCTGGGCGAAGAGCTGAGGCGGTGCTCTGTGGTCGCCACAGAACCTGACCCCTTGTTCCTGGAGTGGCAGAGAAGGTCAGTTTCGCTGATAGCAAGTTTTAAGATCAATATTTTATCAGACTGGTGATATTTTTATTGCAGATATTTTTGACTTTTGATATACCAGGGACACGTCAACAGGCTATCACAGGGCTGACACATAGACAGACAACCATTCACACTCACATTCACACCTACAGACAATTTAGAGTCACCAATTAACCTGCATGTCTTTGGTCTGTGGGAGGAAGCTGGAACACCTGGAGAAATACTCCGCTGACACAGGGAAAAAGTGCGAACTCCACATGGTTACGGATATGATGAAAAATTTAGATGTGCAGAGATGTTCCGGCCTCAGAATAGAACATCGGTGCATCCTTAAGTTAAAATTCTGAAATTCATGGGGGTTTGTTTCACAGAGATTTGTACACACAAGTTTCAAAACCTCACATTTCATTTTTCTTTAAAATATGAAGATTTATTTCCCCAGTCGATAGTGACCAGCTCTGATTTTCATGTTACGCTTCACGTTGAAGGACACTTTATATTCACTTCTCTCTCTTAAAACATTACATTTACAGAACTTTGATAAAAATGACTCAGACAACTTGAAATAGTGCAACACAAACTTCCTGGAAACTGTTTCAGATTTAAATACTTTGTTTGAGGCTGGTTTAGTTGAAGAAAGCCCAGAGGCTACAAAGCCTAATTATTTTACCTGACAGTATTTGTGTGAATGTGTGTATTCCAGACAACCTCCTGTGGTATCTTGTTTAATGTATGAGGAAGGCAGGCATTTGTTTGTGTCACTGCTTTAGATGAACTGTGCTTTCCTCCTCTTAAATGTTCCTTTTATAGATGTTTGAATATGGTATTTGAAACATTATATCCTCATGTTTAAGGTGGACTCGTCGGGAACAAGCAGATTTTTACCGCACTGTGTCATCGTTTGGGGTGGTGTATGACCCAGAGAGGAAATCCTTTGACTGGTCCCAGTTCAGAGCACTGGCCCGACTGGAGAGGAAGACGGACGAGAGTTTGGAGAGATACTTCAACTCCTTTGTCAACATGTGCAGGACGGCCTGCAAACTGCCTCCAAGGAAGGAAGAAGGTATTGTGTGTGTGTCTGTGTCTGTGTGGCTGTGGCTGTGAGTGTTGTGCAAGTTACTAAAATTAGAGTTAGTTACAGTTAATAGAAACTTCTTTTGGTTAGTTAGTTTAATTACTTTTAAATATCTACTTCATTTCTCTTATTAAGGCACATATAGCATATTATTTTAGTGTTATGTGACACTATGATGAAAATAAGTGGCAGAACAATAAACCGTTATTGATTTGTTTTGAAAGGCCTATTTATTGGAGCCTTCAGTTCTTTAAATCAAGCAACAGAAGTCAGATATTCTCGGCAGAGTCAAACGAAATAACAACTGTCTCTCAGATATTTGACAGTAATTTCTTATTACAACAGGTCTAATGAAATAAAAGTGATAAAAGTTATTTACAGAAACAGTAATTCATATTCTGTCCATAGACTAGACTATAGCTCACTGCTATAGGCCTAATTTGGTTTTTGATCTTGAGGAGGTTCCTGTTGGCTACAGCAACACTAAACCCCTGAGCTTGCCTGAGAAGGACTAAATGCAGAAACCCACTTTCTTTTTTAAAATATCCCATGGAGAGGGAGAGACTCTCAGTGCAGCCTGTTTTTATTTTGTTCTGAAAATGTCAGCGTGCAGCCTCGTTCTGTGGACGATAAACAAGGTGCAGACTGATAAAGAAGGAAATGCAGTGAGTGCTGGACGTAGCAGTGAGTGACAACAACCTCGCCCACATTTAAGGGTACTGTTTGCAGTGGAAATGCTAGGGTCTAGGTACCATGTCTGAAGGGTTACTGTTGGTTCCAAAGGTACCATACTGAAAGTGTTTGGTGGAAACGGGGCTCTACAGAAACTAGTCCACCTTTTCTTCCCGTCTGGCTGGCTGTCTCTCTTTCGCTCAAACACACACACACACACACACACACAACAGAGAGACTGGGTGGCACTCACCTGACTAACGCATCATTACATGCTACATGCAACGTTGTATCAGAACTGGGAAAAATTCTGGGGAGTAGGCTGCGTTTGTCTGCTATGATCAAGACAAAAGTAATGAGCCCGTTTAAAGCTGAGTAATTGTAATTGTGTTACTGAATTTTTTAAAAACATTGTTAGTTACATTACTAGTTACCATCTGGAGTAGTGGAATTACAGCACTGGTGGTCACACACATGGGCATGTGCTTTTTAAAAATGACTGAGATTTTGAAAGAAACGTCAGCAATGGACAGATTTGTATTTTATTTTTTTTTACCTGGAGAAACTTTTTAATTTACCTTAATTTGATTTACCTTGGTCATGTGTTTATTTAACAAGAAGCTCATGAAGCTCTGCTTTGTTTTACAGTCACAGTCGGCTGGTTTTACAAAGTACATACATACTTGACTGTCAAAATCTGTAGAGTCCAACACCATGTTCTGATTAGGGTGTAGCTGCAGACCTCCTGTCCCTCCTTGGGACCTTGTTCCTGGGGAACTTTACTGACCCCTGCTGGTGGAAGGATTCAGTTGCTCTTCACTGACAGTTCATTTGTAGTTCAGTACATTAAATTAAGACCCAAACTCAAACAAACAAATCAGAATATTAAACATTTAATTGTAAATATAATGAGTAAAGTCATATTGGTAAATGCACTGCACATTTATAGTGCCTTTCTAGTCTGCTGATCACTCAAAGCTCCTTTACACTACATGTCACAGTCACACACTAGTGGCCGAGGCTACCATACATGGTGCCACCTGCTACTCAGTAGCCATTTACACACACTCACACACTGATGGAACAGCCGACGGGAGCAATTTAGGGTTCAGTATCTTGCCCAAGGATACGTCAGCATGAGGACTGAAGGGCTGTTCTTCCAATTTTCTGACCCACTCTACCTCTGATTCACAGCAGACCCAGGTCACCTTAGGCTCCAGAGTGTTGGGACATATTACAACATGTAAAACATGTGTAAATGTGACCTTGTGAGTTGTACGGACAGTGTCTAAGATCATTGGCTGTGGCCTTCCCTCTGTTTCCTCCATTCATGCCACACGTATCAGGCACACAATGCAGAAGGTGATGGGTGACTCCTCAGCTCGTACTCGTACTCGTACTCGTTGTCCTCCACTTATCTGGGTCCGGGTCGCAGGGGCAGCAGCCTCAGCAAAGAAGCCCAGATAGTCCTCTCCCCCGCCACTTCCATCAGTTCTTCCGCGGGAACCCCGAGGTGTTCCCAGGCCAGCCGGGTGATGTAGTCCCTCCAGCGTGTTCTGGGGCGGCCCCGAGGTCTCCTCCCGGTTGGACATGCCCGAAACACCTCCCAAGGGAGGCGTCCGGAAGGCATCCTTACCAGATGCCCGAACCACCTCAACTGGCTCCTCTCGATGTGGAGGAGCAGCGGCTGTACTCCGAGTCCCTCCCAGATGTCTGAGCTCCTCACCCTATCTCTAAGGCTGAGCCCAGCCACCCTGCGGAGGAAACTCATTTCGGCCGCTTGTACTCGCGATCTCATTCTTTCGGTCACTACCCAGAGCTCGTGACCATAGGTGAGGGTTGGAACGTAGATCGACCGGTAAATTGAGATCTTCGCTTTCTGGCTAAGCTCCCTCTTCACCACAACGGACCGGTTAAGCGCCTGCATCACTGCTGACGCCGCCCCAATCCGCCTGTCAATCTCCCGCTCCATCCTACCCTCACTCGTGAACAAGATCCCGAGATACTTAAACTCCTCCACCTGAGGAAGGACCTCCCCCCTGACCTGGAGTGGGCAATCCACCCTTTTCCGGCTGAGGACCATGGCCTCAGACTTGGAGGTGCTGATTCTCATCCCAGCCGCTTCACACTCGGCTGCGAACTGCCCCAGCGAGAGCTGGAGGTCACTGTTCGATGGAGCTAGGAGGACCACGTCATCCGCAAAAAGCAGGGCCGAGATCCTCCCATCACCGAACCTGACACCCTCCACCACTCGGCTGCGCCTAGAAATTCTGTCCATAAAAGTTATGAACAGAACCAGTGACAAAGGGCAGCCCTGGCGGAGTCCAACCCTCACCGGGAACGGGTCCGACTTACTGCCAGCCACGCGAACCAGACTCATGCTCCTTCGGTACAGGGACTGGATGGCCCTTAGCAAGGGGCCACCAACCCCATACTCCCGGAGCACCCCCCACAGGATGCCCCTGGGGACACGGTCGTAAGCCTTCTCCAAATCCACAAAACACATGTGGACTGGTTGGGCAAACTCCCATGCCCCCTCCAGCACCCTGGCGAGGGTAAAGACTCCTCAGCTCCCTTTTCAAATTCTTCCCTACCGGAAGGCAATTACAGAGTTTTAGATGACGGTCATCTCACCTCAGGATGAGCACATACTGTATCCGGAGGCTGTTCAATACTTGAACTTTGATGCACAAGCACTTGAAGCCAACAAGCACTTTAAAAGTAGGTAGGTGACAGCACAAAGCAGCAGGTACTTAAATGAACCGAGCAGCACAAAGCACTACAGACCTGGACTTGAACTTTACCGTGTTATGTATGTTTGAATGTATAAATATGGTAACTGTTTCTGCTTCTCCTATTTTACATATTTCATTTACTTAGTGTATGTTTGGCTTTCTGTCTGTTTTTTATTGTAAAATTAATCTAGCCTAGGTTTATTTACTATAAATTGCATCTTTAGTCACCTCAGTGTTACAAACATCAGGATCAGGAATATATTTCAATGATTGGTTGACAGGAGGACGCACATACAAACACACTCAAACTTATTTATCTTTTTTCTCTCATCCCCTTCCTTCAGATCTGCATCTCTCATACGTTCCTTGTGCATCTTACTGCCACTGCTCCATGTTGACTCTCTGTATCTCTCATTCCCTCTCGTTTCTTTCAGGGTTGGTGGATCCCGCTGTGCTTGTCGAGCCTCTGACAGAAGAGAGAGCAGCCCGGACTTTATACCGCATCGAGCTGCTCCGAAAGATCAGAGAGCAGGTGGGTTCTTTGTAGAAACGCAGTTTCATCATTAATACTAGTTTTCAGCGTTGCAACTCAAACTCTGAACTTCAAAGTTTATCTACAACGCAGCAATTGTTTGTGTAGAGCTTGGTATGAGTTCATTCCAGTGCACTGATGGATGCACAGATGAAGCTTATTCATCTCTCTACATTTTGTCTCTGGCATTTGATCGATACATTTTGTGTCAATAATAGCTCCCACCTTCTAGTGTTATGAAGAAAATTACAAGTGATGACAGAAATCATATAAAAAGGCTCTTCCTATATCTCATGTCTGCCTCACGAATATGATCATAACTGGGATAAGCCTCATGAACAGGTTATTCGTGTCCATGTAGTCGCACTCATAAAACTTCCCATTTCTTCTTTACATTTTTACTGTTTTATATTTACTTCTTGTGCCTTCCTGCTCTGAACTCCCTCAGGTTCTCCGTCACCCGTTGCTCTCAGCCCGCCTCCAGCTGTGCCGCCCCTCCCTCTACCTCCCAGTCTGGTGGGAGTCTGGCAAACACGACCGTGACCTCCTCATCGGAGCAGCGCGCCACGGCTTGAGCCGCACAGACTTCTACATCCTGAACGACCCCCAGCTGAGCTTCCTGGAGGCACACAGGAACTACGTCAGGGGACACCCCTCTCATCTTCATCCTCAAAGCCATCATCACCCTCATCACCCAGGCCTGGTGACCCATCCCGGCATCTCGTCTTCATCCTCTTCGTCCCATCCACAGCTGCCTCATCCTCACTGCTGCCTGTATGATTCTAGTCTCGGTCGCCACTCCCCTCAGCCTCCTGAGTATCCTCACCAGTCCTCTCACCACCACCACCATCATCACCACCAGCATCACTCTGTGCCTCCGTCTGCTCCTTCTCCTTCCTCCTCCTCTTCTTCCTCCTCTCACCCTCACCTCCACCCTCTACCATTGGATGCCCACAATTCTGCCTCACCAAGTCTGGGAATAGTTCCTGGGTCACGGGGAGATTTCCTCGACTGTCCTCCTCTGGATGAAACCCTGGAGCTGGGTTCACTACAGCATGATGCCATGTCTGCAGATGCCTTACATGGAGGGAAGGCATCCAAAGACGCCCTCAACGGTTTCCCATTCAATTCAGCTGCAGGAGGTCAAAGCATGCTCAACTCGTACGGCGTCGGGGGAACAGACCTTGATTCAAAACTAAGGAGTGACGTGCTTGTTGGTGAGCAGGGCTCCTCAGAGGAAACCGGGCTGATGGCACCATCGGTGGAGCTGGATCAGTTACAGGTACGCATCTGCATTCTTAAGAAGGCTGAAAGGTGTAAGATTTAGGGGGATTTGGTGGCTTCTAGCTGTGAATGGCAGATTGCAACCAGCTTAAACTTCCCCACCTAGATTTCCATCAGTATTCATTGCTCAGGAGGTTTTTATCAGGAGCCAAATTATCCACAGAGGTCTCTTCCTCTCCAAAATAAACGGACCAGGTGATTAAAACCGCTAAAAACACTGAATAAAGTAGTTTCACATCACATATCAGTGCATCTCGGAGACGGGCGACCCACCCACAGCATGCTGAATCCTCAAGCAGAACCAAGACTCTATGGTGGGTGGCAATCTGCCTCTGCCCGTTGGGTTGAGAGAAAATACAGAGATATAATAATAGAGATATCACTTTTTATAATTATAGCAGTGGATATAATAAAACAATATTAATAGCAGCAGTATTGACATTGGAAGTATGACTAATAATAAAAGCAGTAGCAGTGGGCGTCAAGCAGGATAACAGCAGCAGGTGCCACCGCAATCCAAGAAACCTGCAAGGCGAGAAAGCACAAAGGCTCCAGCGAGGCCAAGTTAGTACCATGAATCAATGAGACGTGAATGCATAACGGAGAGAAAGAGGAGGAGAGAGGAGCTCAGTGTATTGAGGGAAGTCCCCTGGCAGTCTAGGCCTATATAGCAGCCTCACTAGGGGCTGGTTCAAGGCAAGCCTGAGCCAGCCCTAACTATAAGCTTTATCAAAGAGGAGAGTCTTAAGCTTACACTCACTCTTTTCTGGAAGGTGGTTTCACAGGAGAGCAGATGAATAGTTAAAGGCTCTGGCTCCTGTTCTACTTCATCTTTCATTAACCCATCACCTTCGTCCCTGCAGGCTCCCTGGGATGGCACAGACCACTCCAGTCCAGCTCACCACATGTTCAATGAATCTGATCCAATTCTTGGACCTTCCACTCTGGAGACTGGCTTTCTGGAGGAGGAGGATGAGGAGGCGCAGGGGGGAGACAGAGGAGGGGAGGAAGGTGGAACTCTGGAGGAGTGTTTGGGCCTCCCACCCTCCTCCTCTCCCTCCCACCCCTCTGCAGGAGACTCTGTGGAGCCGCTGTCCTCAAGTTACATGCTCTTTAAGGTTAGTTTTCAAGCTAATGTTGAATTGAAAGGAAGGACGCAGAGTGAAAAAAGAAAATTCTGTTTGGTTTTAATTACAATTCATTTAAATTTTCTAACTATTATTTTGTAAAACAATAACATGAATATATCATCACAAAGCAATTCTTATTTTGACACTTTTATTTTCTGTATCCAGGAAATTGGTGTGAGCGAGGAACCCAGCGCAGATCAAACCGACCTTTCAGCGAGCCCCCCGCCTCCTTATGTCCCCCCACCTCCCCTCTCTCTGTCTGACATCACTGCCCACACGCCACAGCATAGGCTGGGCCCCTCTGATGTGGCTGAAAGCTTGGCTAACCCTGTGGAGGAAGGAGAAGGCCAGGAAGGAGGCACTGGGTTCGAGTTTGATGACAAGGAGGAGGAGGAAGTGGAAGACTTGTCAGGGGGGACCTTGGAGCAGAATGTGGAGAAACAAAGAGATCTGGAGGGAGTGGAGTGTGACGTAGACCAAGGTATGTGGAAAAAGTACAGGTAGTTGTACAGTGTATTTGAAGACTAATCAATTTTACATAAGTGGCCTCAAGAAAGACGGTGTTCCTAAAACATGTTGGAGAAGTGTCATAATTATTTGACTACAACTATATCTAAAATTATAAATTCAATAAATTATATCCAGATCACCATTGTTTTAAGACATACAGATAGATAGATAGATAGATAGATAGATAGATAGATAGAGATACACCCTAAACAGGATCATAAATACTGAAATACTACTGACGCTGAGACGAAATGATCAGCCAATGGGAATAACATGACGGATTTTTAAATTACTTAAATTTCTACATGGTGGCTTCACTTTAACTTATCTCTGCTTCTTTCAACATGATTGAATTTTCATTGAACTCATATTGCCAGGCACCGCTTAACATCTTGATGGTTCATCCTTACAGGAGCAGACCAAAGTTTGGGAGTTTTGAATCCACCCATGGAAGTACCTCAGATGGACGGGATAGTGCCAGAGCCGGGCCTTGCAGAACAGGACGAACAAGACCTTCAGGAGAGCTTCGACCAAGCAGAGCATGAAGAGGAGTTACCACAAGGGGTGCATCCGTATCTTGGGAAGCTGGAGCAGGAAGGTAGCCTTGCATGTCCTGAGTCCATTGAAGAGCCTGGGGAGGAAGTGGATGGGTTGATTCTGTATCAGACAGTGGAGGAAGAGACGATAGGAAACTCTCTTGACACTGAAACATTAATGGGGAACGCAGCTGGAGAAGATGGTCCAGCCGAGTGCACAGATCTGGCAGATCAAGTGGATGAGATCTCAGAAGGGCAGATGGATCATGTTTCTTTCATCCACGTTCCAGTGGTTCAACCCAGTGATGACGTGGCAGTGAAACAACTAGACGTCAAACCCAACGAGATGGTGCTGCAGAGCATTTACTCAGAATATGCACAACCCTCCTGCCCTACAACGTCTGTCTCACCCCCTACTGTAGCAGCAAAGGCTGACGAAACCGCCACAAAGAGCAGTGGCGGAGCTGGAGTCAAAACCGAAGTCTCCATGAATCAGAATAACTATGAAGGTACAGCTGAAGATCTGAGCTCACCACATGGGAGGAGAGACTGTAAGAATAGAGTCCTGACATTCTCCCTTGACCAGGACAACAAAAATAATCTGCTTGAGCAAATTGGAATCAAAATGGCCCCAACTCTACTTGCAAACAGTATTGACACAAAGCCATCTGATCTCAAGTTTTCTCTTCTACCAGACAGTGGCGTTGACAAGAAACCTCAGCAACTGGAGCTGCCAATCAAGGTAGAGGAAACCAAGATGGAGGCTGGAGAGGATGTCTACCCCGACAGCTCTGAAGTCAAACATGGAAATTTCCTTTCTTACCACGTCAAGTCAGAAGACTTAGTGACCAAAGCTGAGCAGTTAGACTATCCTGTCAAACCAGAAACACTGGAGACCAAACCCGAAGATCTAAGCCTCCCCATGAAGCCTGAAAGCTTAGACTGTAAACCTGAAGTCCTCCAGTTCGCAGCCTTCTCAGATGGCGCTGAAATCAAACCTGAAGAAAAACCAGTAGCTCTCAGTTTTGCTGTGTATCCAGATGGAGCTAAGCTTAAGACTGAGACAGAGCAAGAGGATTTAAGGTTATCGGCCTTTCCTGACACGTCTGCCATCAAGCCCGAAGCCAAGCCAGAGGGTCTGGAGTTCACAACCTACCCAGACAGCTCTGAGATTAAACCCGAGGCCAAGCCGGAGGACCTCGAGTTTACAGCTTTACCTGAGATCAAAGCTGAGACAAAGCAGGAGCTGTTGGAGGCCGACAGCACAGTCCTGACCCCAAAGCTGGAGCAGGTAGATGGGCTGGTGGACACCTCGGAGAGTCTGGTGGTGAAAGGCCAAGTGAAGGAGGAGAGGCCAACGACACCAGGTGAGAACAGGTTTTAAAGGTTGATCTGCAACTAATAATTATTTAACGTCTGGGTAAAGTGAAATCAGAGTCTGAACATATTATACATGTCAAAAAATAATTACTGACAACATGTTAAAGACTGTGAACTATACAGTACTGCATTGTGGAGTTAGGGCCCATACACATTGTGTGTCATTAACCACCTGGAAAACGTGAGGTCGGGCGCAGGATGCTACTCCTGTGCCTACTCTATGCCAACTTTCAAGAGCATGTAGTGTCTGAGGATGCTAAGTGGACAGAGACAGGGCCTGAGCACCAAATGTGTGTGTTTAAGTTGGACTGGAAGGGAAAGGGAAGCTGCTGATTTTTAAGCAGCTGTGTGCCGTTGCAATGTGGGCAGTATATGCAAACGAACAATGGTCAACCTCCCTCTGCTCTGCAGCTTGCGGAGGTCTGGTTGGTGCAGCACGTTGGAAGTTTGAGCCAAACACAGTTCATCTGCAGACACTGCGGTGACACAGAGTTGTTTCATAATTGGCAGAATTTACCTTTAATAACTTCCTCAGAACACTGCTCTGTCACCTTGTCACACCTCATTGACTGCTTCAGCTCGTTGCTGCAAGTGTCACCGCCATATTAGACGGGCAAGACAGGCCTTCAGTGGACACGCCCCTAGTGTCTCAGAACAGATTGTACAGCTTTTATTTTCATCATTTTCAAACCTAATTTTACATATTTGGTGATTTTATTTAATCATTCAAATTTGGCTGGGTGGTTGATAACAGATTTTTGTGTGACACATTCACAGCACATGTTTATTTTAATTAATAATATTTCCCTGGATTAATCATCAAGTTCTTTGTTTAGTCTGTAAAATGACAAAGTGATGACTAATTCCCATCACAAGGTCCCAGACACCAACTGATCTCTTCCATTTGCTAATTTTATAAAATGTTATGAAACTTTCAAAGATATAAAACAGAGAAAATTCAAAATTTGACACATTTGAGAAGGAACTGATTTTGGCATTTTATTTCATTTATGACCTGGAAAGATAAATACACTATTAAAATGGTTGAATCAATGACTAATCCATTAATGACCAGTCTTATCATAGGCACACGTGGTGCCGTTATTTGCAAACCACATGAAGCGCAGTGTACTGATGTTTGATTGTACAAGTTTGAAAAAATGCACCTCCTTCTACAAACCAGGCTTGAACTTGTCATTCTCTTCCACAGTACCTGTGGTGGAAGGTTACGCGGGCAGCCCCAGGTTTGCAGCTCCTGTTTCCATGTGTGAGATTCCTGAAAGCCTCCACGACACCAGGGAGCCGACCATCGCTCAGCTGCTGCAGGAGAAAGCACTTTACTCATTTTCTGAGTGGCCCAAGGTACTGTGGTGTCTTTTATGCCTGGAATCAGAATCATATACACCTCACCTTACATTTACAGAACAGACGTATGACAGAAAACTGGTTGTATGGTCATTTGCATGCAAACCCAGGCTACGATCAAATCTCACGTCGCGTCTCAACTCTTGTATGCAAGTTTGAGTCAGCGTGAAGTGGCGGTGCAGAAAATTAAATCTGGCTGTGTTGGAGAATCGTTATCAGACCATGTTATGACTGGCATCAAAGTACTTGCAGTCACATATTCATTACTAAAAAATGTATAGCCTACGAGACAACAAATTTTGTAAAGGCCTACATCACTGACCGAAGGCTGAACACTTGGCTGTAGTATGTCTCTCCATGTCGTAAACTCCAGAAGCAAGGCCTCTAAAGTGAGAACATATATTGGAGTTGGATATTCAAATGACAGTTGTTTTCAGTAACCTTCATTGTCAACGCTCGATCATTTCTACGCTGTGATCAGCGAGATAAGAAAGTTTGAATAACTCACATGTGAACCCCATCCTAAGATGATTTCTGCACTCAGATCTGTGCTGGTTTGCATGTTAGATTGATAAATGAGGTCCAACATGTCTGCATTAAAAAGAAGGTTAACCTGTTCACGTTATCATCTTCGTGTCATTAGTTCGGTCTTATACTGTTCCCTGTAGGACCGTGTTATCATCAACCGCCTGGACAGCATCTGCCACGCCATCCTGAAGGGGAAGTGGCCGTCATCAAGCGAGCAGTACGACTCACCCGGCTCCATGGTCGCCAACTCATGCCTGGCCAACAGTTTAGCCCAGCACCACCACCAGCAGCACCACCGTGCAGGCTTCCTCCCCACCACGGCCTCCAGCTCCGTCCCGGGCCAGTCCAGGGTTCAGCAGACGAACCCTGGACTCGGGTTCTCCATCCCTCCCCCTCTCACCAGACTACCTAAGGTGAGAACGTCCCTGTGACCCACTGAATGAATGAATTAACTCCCTTTGTTGTACATACCTGTGCATCTATCATCTGTCCACATGTATCTCTACTATCTCATGCCATGGTTCATACAACTGGTGTCCAGTTTGCACTGCTAACAATGCTAATAGTACTAATAGACTCCTAAATGCTAACAGACTAGACTCCGCTAAGGGTGTCATTACTTTGACTTGTCGTTCGGGTGCTTTTTCATTACGGCTGAACAAGGTAATAATTCTCAAGCCCATTTGATTTGTGGCAAAACACCGGACTGCACTGATGAAACGTTTAATATCGTGATATGTACTGGAAATGACAATATAGCCAGCAGCAAGTAGGTTGTTGGTTAGTCAGTGTTTTATTCAGTCTTCACCCATAATACAGCAAGTATAAATAATACAAATAGTGTAAACAAAGTCAACACTCTATGTTGTTACCGAAGAGTCTCAGGGAGAAGCCCAAGCTTGTATTTACCTGTCTTACATCCTTAACAATTTAAGCTATCCTCCATGAATACGATAAAATCATTCAGACTTGTAACCCTCAAACATAGCTTTGTAAAACATTATTTTCAAAACCCAAAATGTTTTACACATTTTTTAAAATCTTCTTGGTATTGTTCCACAATTTAACCCTTAAAATAGCAACTTACACCAAACCCTCAAATTGTATTTGCTCTCCTGTACTAAAAGAACTTTTGTACAGAATCTGGTAGTAACATCAGTTTTGCTCTGAACATTATGTGCATCATTTTATAATACACCAAATCATTACATTTCATAGTTTGTGTATTCAAAAACAGTATTTTAGTGTGATCATAGTAACCAGCCTTATTAATAATACGTATGGCTCATTTTTGTAGTGAGACTATTGAATTGTAAATCACAACTCCACAAAGTGTTATTAGTGCTGGTCATCTGGTGATCTCCCTCTAACTGGCTGCCACCTTATTATGTTTTAGCAGTTAGAAGTAAGGAAGTCCCACGTAGATAATTCCTCATTTCAGCTTTATGAATCAGCCGTCAAAGCAATTGGCAGTAATAGATATAAACAGGGCATCCAAAAAAATAGTCCACTCATTATGGCACTCCGTGTCGCCGGCAGCCAGTGAAGACATCTCTTTTGTAAGCTTCACATCCAAAACATGGCATATCGGTGCAGTTTTAGATTTCTTGAAAAACTAATTTTGCCACGTCTCCTCTCGTCAAACCAAAAAAAACACATGAACTTTCTCGCAAACAACACAAAAACCTCCTCTCTTCCTCTCCCACCTCCACTAAAATTTCATCCCCTTCCTGTTGCCACTGCTCGACTCTCGGCCTGTCAGACGCAAGTCCCTCTGTTAGGCTAATATATTGATTAATGCAGTACAAGTAATCATAATGACAAATTATGTTCCTCTAAGTTCAGCTGGTTTGCATAAAGTCGAACCTGTTTAAGCTCGTACACTGACGGCAAAACCTTAAATCGACCCAACTCAATTTTCAGCAGTTGAGATAGGTTACAGATTAAAAAATACATGACATCCACTTGGTGTTACCCTTTATATCAGGTATACTGATAAAATATATCATGTGATTATATGTTTTACATATGTCGTGTATCCTTGTTAGATTCATAGCTCAACACATTAACACCGTTGACTAATACTTACTAAAATGTCCGACATAGAGCAGGTTCTTCAGGTCGCACTGGACACCTCTAGTTCACACCATTGCTTTGTCGCTTCTTTGTAAAGTTCCGTGTCTCTGTAATCTGTACTGTTGATATTATACATGTTGATATCAGACTTGGGCAATTTTTAACCAGCATATCTGTAAAGAAACATCATATCTCAGCTTTAAGGAGAGCATTTTTAAGGATATTGTTCAAACTATATTTGTTCATTTACACCCAATTACAGTCTGACTGATTATCTGTACAGTGTGTTTCATCCAAAGGCATAATTTCCAAAAATGTAACACTCCACAGACGAGGGAACAGATGGGATGAGAGCTATTTATTTTGACTCCATGTCTCATGCTCTCAGAGGTAAACAAACCAGGCGAGCTTTGTGTTCAGCCTGGAGCAGCTTCCAAAGAGGAAAATGTATATAACATTGTTAAATAACTGTTGAGGTGTCGGGCTCGTGCTTTAACCCAGGTCTGGTTGATAGCCGCCACTGTGTTCTGTCTCAGTCCATATGTATGTTTAACAAAGCCATCATCTCTCTCCCATTCTTGTCTACCCCTCACCCACCCTGTCCACTCTGACAGTACATGTCGCGGGGCGGCGCATGTGGGCGCGGAGCTTGGCGCCTCACCTCCTTGCCTCTCTTACAGGAGAGGCTCGTGGCTCCTCCTTATCTCCCTGAGCTCAAACGAGCGGGAGGTCGGAGGTCATTCGACTATGAAGCCGCTGCTGCAGCAGCCGCTGCCAAGGTTTTAGCTGGGAAATCAGCATCGTCATGCCACACTGCCGCCACCACAAGCTCCAGTGGTGCTGCTCCGGTGGTGGCGCCGCCCTCTCATCGCACAGGAGCCATGCTGATTAACGGCTGGCAAGAAACAGCCATAGATCTAACCAAGTCGTCCGGAGAAATAAGCACCACCAGTGCCCTAGGGACAGGAGAAGCTGTGGTTGCACCGGGAATCAGCCACCATGGTGCTGGCAGCAGTCATAAGCTGCCGCCGCCACCCCCCATCACAGCACCGCTATCAGGCTCTGTGGGGATCGACATGGCCGGGATACTGCAGGCAGGGCTCATCCATCCTGTAACGGGGCAAATAGTTAACGGAAGCCTGAGGGGAGATGACTCACTGAGGAGGAGGAGAGGGAGGAGGAGAAACGTTGAAGCACTGTACTCTGAGTTCACCAAGAGCAGAGGACTGCACCTCCCAGAGACACAGGTGGGTAGAGGGAGGAGTGAGGGTATAGGGGTAGTTCAAATTCTTATATGTGCTTCACTGTGAAAGAGAGGAGCCGCAGCTCGGGCATCTGGGGGGGTAAAAGTCAGAAGTTAAATTTAAAAAAAAAAAATTGGATTCGAGAGGAAAATCCTTTCCCCTACTCAGAATGTCAAAAACACCTGCATCTGTGTGTGTTTGTGTGTGTGTGTGTGTGTCTCTGCAGCTACAGGGCCGGGTGGAGGTAATCAGCCACTCCTCCGTCTCCTCCTCCACCTCCTCGCCGTCCCCCTCTCCTTCAGAGCGACCCGCTGGCCCTCCCACACCGTCCTCCTCTTCTACACCCACCCCCACCCAGACACCACCTCAGCCAGAGATCGTGGCCATCGACAGAGAGGCGGCCAGCAAAGGTCTGATCGAGTGGCTGAGACAGAATCCGGGCTACAGCATGGATCTCCCCACATTCACTCATGTGAGTCTCATGATCATCATCATCATGCTCATTGTAATCATGCTGATTATCACCCAGGGGTGCGCCATAAAATATTGTTCTGGATAATACTGGTATAAGTAAATCACATTGTGATAGTAGCAGCAACATGCATGGCTGAAAGTGAAATTGCTTCCAACCAAATCAGTTCCTGGACGAGGACAGATGTCATCAGTGTGGAGCAGTGGCATCATTAAGCCAGGGTGTCCAAAACTACTGCTCCCAATGTGTCATGAATAGCCCTGGACATATTAGACCCTTTCAGTGACTTGCTGCCCAGAGTAAGCCGTCAGCTGTATGAGATTTTCACGTCACCATAACATTCTCAAAAGATATCAGTTTCACTGTATTACACAATTATTATTATACAACAAGTAGCTAAGACCAAGCAATGTGATTGGTCAACAAGACATTAAGAATGTGCTCGAATCAGAATAACAGCACACCTGGCTCATCACTAAAATATTACTCTAACAAAAACCAGAAGGCAACAAATCTGTGACAGAATGGAGCGATTTGTTAATTTTGACCAACAGGGCAGACTCAGCTTGATGAATGTTTGGAAGAAGATGAGGCAGCTGCTGCTGTTGCTTTGGGACATAGTGGACACAAACATGCTCTATACACCGATCACCCAAAACATTAAACCACTGACAGGTGAAGTGAACAACATTTATCATCTTGTTACAGTGCAATGTTCTGTTGAGAAACATTTGGTTCTGACATTCATGTGGATGCCACTTGACATGTTCCACCCACTCAAACACCGTTGCAGACCAGACACCCCCCCTCATGGCAACGGCACTCCCCAGTAGTTGTGGCTCCCCAGCAGGACAATGCACCATGCCACACCACAACAACAACCTGTTCTCCAAATTCCCTGGATCCCAATCTGATCAAACATCTGTGGGATGCACTGTTACCCCACCTCACAACCCACTGGACTCAAAAAATCTGAAGCTGGCGCCCTGATGCCAGGTGTCACAGGACACCCTCCAGAGGTCCTGTGTTCATGCCTTGACAGATCAGATACAAGTCCGGTCCAAGGAGGCCCCACCGTGGATTGGAGGTACCTCTGGGGTACCAGCACGTCCCACAGATGTTTGATCAGATTGGGATCTGGGGTATTTGGAGGTCAGGTGGACGCCTTGAGGTCTCTGTCCTGTTCCTCGGGTCATGCCTGAGCAGTTTTTGTGATGTAGCATAGTGCATTGTCTTGCTGGGGGGCCACTGCCATCGATAAGTGCCGTTGCCATGAGGGGGTTTACTTGGTCTGCAACGGTGTTCAGGTGGGTGGAGCGCATCAAGTAGCATCCACATGAATGCCAGGAACAAAGGTTTCCCAATGGAATATTGCACTGTAACAAGATGATCAATGTTATTCACTTCACCCACCTATGGTTTTAAAGTTCTAGCTGATTGGTGTATGTGTTCATGTATATGGGCTAAAATCTTTCTAAAAACTCTTGACAATCCTGAAAATATTTAATAGATTAATATGTAAATATAAGCACACTGGAAGGCAACATTTACAAAACTGATAAATCTGAAACATTTTTCGTTTTTTATTTATGTCGTTGCGTAATCACAATATTACACTCTAGGGTGTGCTTCAACATTTGTGGCACGTCTGTGATGCGTTTTTTTTGTTGTTGTTTTTTGTTAGCGCTGAGCTACACATTATCTGTTTGAGCTGTTTTTTAAGGACATACATCTGATTGATTCTGTCTTCCCTCCTCTGTCCTGTCCTGTCTCTGTCCCTCTGCAGTCTGGAGCAGGTCTGTTACATGGTTTTGTGGAGCGTCCCAAGCAGAGGAGGCATCGCTGTAAAGACCCCACTAAGCTGGATATCAACTCTTTGACAGGGGAGGAGAGGGTTCCTGTTGTGCACCGAGGCACCGGACGCAGGGTAGAAAACACACACACAGTACATAACCTTCCTACTGTTGATATTTCTGTGTTTCTGATTTTGGCATGGCACATATTTGGAATGTGCATGTTATTAGTTATCTTAGACTGTTTCTGTTTGTACTCTTCCTCCTTTGTCTTCCACAGCAGTAAAGTTTAGTGTTATCCTATCTTGGATTGTAAAATAATAACTTAATATGTACTGATTTATAATAGTAATGGAAAATGACTTATGTGTTGATGAAGTTCAGTCATGGGTAAAAATATTCACTAATAGCTCAGGCTGCCTTAAGATGAGAGAGCAGGAAAAATCCTACATGTAAGTTAATATTCTTGTTGTAATATTGTGCTGGTTTTCCTGCCTTGCAGCTTGGTGGTGCTATGGCTCCGGCCATAAAGGAGCTCTCCAGGTGGCTGGATGCCAACTCAGAATACTATGTAGCTCCAGACTGGGCTGATGTGGTCAAACACTCTGTGAGTATAAGACATATAAAACAATGTCTGCAGCAAAAAAGATTTAATTTTTGACCAAAGTTTTAACTTTCCTTTTCTTCTAATTCTCACTGTTGTTGGTGTGTCAATTCCTCTGATACACATGCTGCGTTTCATTAGTCCTTCAACACGCCTTTGTTGACTTCCCCTCAGGGGAATCCCTACTGCCATCATAAGTGTCGTTTAATTAGTCTGAAAACCTTTTTGGCCCTTTTGGCCCCACTCCAGAGAAGGTCCATCTCTGGACTGCTCCCAATGTTGGAGGTCAACAGGTGGCATCCATGTGATGTTTGCTGTTACGTTACACCAAGAGCTGAGTAAAGTGGAAAGAGGAGGTAGACCCTTCCCTGGGTCTACCTCCTCTGTGGTAGTATAGGTAAGGTAAAGGAGGTTGTTCGGTTAGTGTGGGGAGCAGTGAGACCTGGCATTAGGGGAGTGTCTCTGGGACGCCAGAGATCACTGTCTAGCCTCCTGGAGGTGTCGTGGGACCAACTAGACGAAACACCGGTGAAAGGAGGTTCCCACCCGATGACCCCAAAGACATGTTAGTTATCACTGCTCACTGGTCTGTATAGTTAAGCCTTGCCATAATAGCTTATCATAGGGCTTAGGAGGTTATTCACTGAGTGCTGATCCTTTTTTTTTTTTTTTTTTTTTTTTTAGAGCACAAACTTCTTGTGTTTATTTGAACTAATGAATCGTCATTGTAATCTGCTAACTCCATAATCTTTACTGTCCTCCTCTAATGCAGGGTTTCCTCCCTGAGGGGAAGTTCTCCCGGATCCTGACAGAACCAGTCAACAGAGACTCGGGCTCTCGCCGACGTGGACGGCGGCCTCGCAGCGAGATGCCTAAGCCCTTGCTGTCTGTCTCTGACTCAGCCACATCTGGCCTCGGCCCCCCACTCTTCATGAACGGTGGATTAATCGGCAGCATGGACTCCATGGTGCAGATGCAGAACCTCCGTGGTGGTATTCCTGGAATTCCCATCTCTGGAATAATGGCAGCTGGATTTCCACATGGTTTCTCTGCAGCTGTCCAGGCGGGCGGAGCCGGAGCGTCGGCAGAAGATGCCAAAAATGGGTTGAGTATGTTACCCATGATGCTGCATGGCATCCCTCACCCCCATGGGGCTGCGATCCCACAACACGCCTTGTTCAGCGTCGGTGCGATGATGGCGCACACGCCGCCGCCGCCTCCTCCTCCTCACCCCAGCTCCTCCTCTTCTTCTTCATTGTCTGCTGCAAAGGTCACCACGACAACCGCACCATCTACATCTGAGGCAGCCAGCCCCTCTTCGACAACGCCTGCTGAGAGAGAGAGCACCGCCTCTTCTGGCTCTGGTGGCGGTGAGAAAGAGAGGAGCCGGGAGGAGAAAGGAGCAACAGAAGCTAACAAAAGAGCAGGAGTGGCGGAGGCAGCAGCCATCATCACCTCCACCAGCAGGGCCCACATTGGCGCTGCGCATCTCGGAGGCAGCACCGGCAGCCATCTTACCTTCAACCCCTTCCTGATCCCGGGCATGTCCCACGGCCTGCTGTACCCACACATGTTCTTGCCGCACGGTGGCATCATGGCGCTGCCCGCTATGCCTCCTGGTGCAGTAGACGGCTCCCCGGGCAGCCCCAAGAGGAGGAGGAAGAGAGGGCGGGAGGAAGGGGAGAGAGAGGAGGAGAGGGAGAAGGCAGCGGTGGCGGGAAAGGTAGAGGAGAGAGAAAGTACAGTTAAGGCTAATGTTACCTCCCACCCAGCCTCCTCCTCGTCTCCCTCCATCCCCTCTACCTCGGCTCCAGACCCAGGCCTGTCTCCGACCGAAGAGCCCCAGACTGGGCAGGGAGACGCAGAGGACGGGCCTGCAGAGCCCCAGGAACCTGACTCCCATAACCCTCTCGAGGGAGCAGCAACAGAGGAGAAAGAGGAAAGACTGGAGGACACAGGAGGAGAAGCAGCAGCAGAAGAGGAGAAGCAGGACAGTGAGGAGCAGAGACAGGTGGAGGGAGAGGAAGCGTAGAGGAGGAGAAAACTGCAGAGAGACGGACACTTCCTGCTCTCTCCTCCTGTCTCCTTGGTTGCTCTCTTTCTCGACTGAGCAACAGTGTAAAGTTTGTGCCGTGTCTGTCAGTCAATGTCCATGTAAAGACTTTTATTATGATGATGACTAATAATAATGATTATATTCAACTTGGTTATGTTTATATACCAAGACCCCACCCACCCTCTCCACTCCCTCCTTGTATACAGAAAAAAAAAACAGTGTAAGAAATGCTCTTCTGTGTATTCTTCCCCCTTCATTCTGCATCGAGACTGAGTCAGGAGGGACTTCTCAACAGAACACACATATACACATATACACACACACACACACACACACACACACACACACTGCAGGCGAGATGTGCTAACCAAGGAGCAGCTTTGGCAGTAATGATCCGGTTATAAGCTCAAAGTGATCCAGGATGGTGTGTTGCAGTGTTTAGGTTTGGTTTGTTTGACACAAGGATGATGATGACGACGGAGAGCCGCGGCTCAGCTGTCAGAGGTGGTTCTCTGAAGTCGTTTGAATTTCTCACCACAGTTTGGGAATTCAGAGGAGCACTCGTTTATGTTCAAGGTCAAAACCCGAGCCTGTTCATCTGAGTACTGTCTTGTTGTTTTGTGTTCTGGCACACTCCACTAAATTGATTTTTTTGTCTTGCTTTTTCTGTGCAATGTTCAACAAACCTGCAGGTTAGATTAACCTGAAAGTGAGTCTTGGTAATACTGAAGAGTCTGAACCAGCATTCGCAGACACATGACACTAAGATAGTGGTTCTCAACCAGGTGTCCTTAAGGAAGTTCCAGGGAGTCACCAGAAAGAGAGGTAATCATTTATTTTCACTAAGTCACTATAGAAGTGAGCCCAGTGTAAGTAAGAGTCATAAGAGTGGCTGTTCTCATCATAGGTTTCACTTTGTCCACGATTATCTCCTCAACTGCAGAGTTCTGGTCCTAATCATATCCAACAACCAAAGTCTTTTCAGATGGAGGTCCCCTTAAGGAGGTGAAGTGAAATCTGATTAAATGGGGGTCTGTGATGTAATGTGTATCAGTTGACACAAAAAAAAGGTTGCGAACAACTGCACTCAGAAACCTTTTCCCAGTCAATACAAAGAGAAAACACTGATAAATGTAAACTTATTATGCAACAGCGACTCCACCAAGAGAACAGGCAGCAGCCCAGATCCTTTTTTTTTTTTGAAAAATTTCTAAATGATTTTGATATGATTCAAAGAAAAAAAAAGTTAAAAGCTGCCAAATCAGAAAGATTTTTACTTGGTAAAATTGAGAGAAAGTCACAACACAAGTATCATCACTAAATCCCGGGCATACGTGTTGTATCTTAATCATAAGATAGCATTGTCTGCCAGCCCCTGACATTTTAGACATTCTTTTTTTTTAATCGATAATTTTATTATTATTGCTATGCCATTGCTGCTACCACTTCCTTGTCAAAGGAAGTTCAGAGAGTTAAAATGTTCTTTCCTCGTCAACCAGATTATTAATCCAGATTCAAAGACTAGGAAGGTGCATCCAGAACAAGAAGAACTCCGCCTTTTGCTTTTATCGATAAAAGCAGAGAACAATCATGAGATTAATTTTTATTCATTTTCAAAATCATGTAAAGATTTTTTTTTTTTTAACTCAGACACAAAGTCACTTTGAGAAACTGCTCCTGAAGAGTTCAGGCCGAATGAGAGGAGATGAAAGACAGGAATTTTAAAGTCAAGAGCTCAGTCTGGCCACCAGGGGGAGGTAGGAGGCAGATTTGATTGTATCCTGTCCTGCAGACACAGGGGTGGAGGGATTGTGGGAGAAGAAGAGGAGACGAGGTGGTGTTTTTTTTTTCCTTTGGTTTGCTTTTATCTGAGTTCTAACTTACAGCAAATCAGTGACACAGTGGCTCATGCAAAAGGACTGCTGCAAAATGGTTGCAATCATGACCTGTAGCATCACGCCCCTTTTATTTTTTATTTATTTGTTCTGTTTTCGGCCATACTGTCCTCTCCTGAGTTCAGTGAAATGTTACGTCTGCGTTGTCGACCATCTGTCCAGTGAAAGGGAATAGTCTGTTTTCACAGATGAAACAGGAAGAGGAGGGATACAAAGCGGTGCGTGAATCGCTCGGGTTGAGTGCCTCGTTGTTGCTCTTCGTCTCATTTCTTTTCCTCAGATTAGTTTTAATAGCAGTTCATACTAAGAGTTTCTAAATATGTAAATCTATCGCTGTATATTGCTGTTTTTCTTTCTTTAAGTGCACCGTTTATTTCTTTTGCCTTTTTGTTTTGTTTCTCCATTGGGAAAAAAATACTTGACAGATGCGAGGGGGATTTTTGCATAGAGGTTAGTCCCAGTGTTTTCGGTATCAAACAGACTGTACTGTACATTAAATGGATGCAAGTCGCTGGTTTTATTCAGTCTTTTCAGAACAGGGTCTGTATTTTGGGGTGATATGTCAAATGTTTCCGTTTATGATGTTGGACTTCACTTTTTTTGTTTTCATACATGAAAACATTATTTTTGCACAATGTCTTTTTGTGAATGTTAACCTGTTTCTGTACTGTCTTGTATTTCCTTTATGTGTGTGTGTGAGAGAGAGTGTGTGCGATATTTGGGAGAGAGCACGAGCGTCTGTGTGCATGCATGCGCACACGTTTCCGTTGTGGAGCTGTGTTTCGACTTCTGTCTCGTCCTTACAGGTCACATTTCTTGTTGGAGAAAAAAAAACATAGTTGTTGCCTTGTCACAAGTTTGTGGCTACATATAATTTATTATGCTTTTCTTTTGCTTTGCCAAACTTTCACCAAATATGACATTCTTTCTCTCCTAGTTTCATTATGTATTATTCAAAGTAAAATGCCTTATTTAGCTAGTATTTTTTGTATAGATGTTCTGTTACATCTCCATATACTAGGGACATGTTATCATGTGTGTGTTCAGTTTGTCCTTTGCTTGTATGCGTACACGGCCTTGATGATGTGCATTATCTAAAAAAAAAGCCAGTAGTAATGCAAAGGTACCACTGTCCAAATCACTGCGTTAATTCCCAAAAGTCAATCAGTCATCCCTCAAAGCACAAGAGAGTTAACAAAAAGTGACTGTTTTCTTACCAGTGCCTCTAAAATCACTTTAAATGGTTTCTCTTTTGTGGGCTTCACTTGCGTACGATGTTGACATTCCCTTTCCGTAGTGACATCATCATCGGGAAAGTGAAAGTGTAACTCTTTGTTGGATTTCACCCTCAGCAGACGATGCCATGCTGTTCGTTAAAGGGGAATTCTGGATTATTTTCAACCTGGGTCTTCACTCGTGTATTTTTCCATTGTGACTAACGATGTATGTGAAGAACGATGCGTCTCCATTTCCTCCCGCTGTACAAAAACAAAGCCAAAATATCAGGATGTGGGCGCTGCCATTTTGCACTGATGATTTCATTGGGAGCCAGAGTCTACACAGTAGCGACGATCTCTGTGCCATCAAGTTTCCACTGTTGCGAGTACACTGATTGGCACACACAGCTCTCAGTCATGACCTCAAACTTTTATAGCATCAAATAACTAATTCAAACCAAACTCAGAAAAGACCTACCTAACATGACCCATCCACTAACATGTAGGGGGGCAGAGTTTATGACCTATAGTGCAGCAAACTGCAACTCTTGGGGAGTTGATATGCCGTCTGTCTATATATACAGACTATAGTTGTTACTATTAATCATGAGGACACTTTACTCTCCAGCTCTGTTGTAGAAACTTGAAAAACTCCAGCAAGATGTCAACCAGGAGTAATGAGTGTGAGCTTCTGCTTACGTTTGTTTGGCTACAAAGTGTTTGACATCATTCCTGTTGAATTTGAAAAGCTGGAGAAGTTTATTCTCCACCCTGATCAACTCCATTATTACCGGGATCTTAAATCTCTGCAACAAGGCAGAATCCTTTGGTCCTCTTATTCTCCACCCCGGCACCCACACTTATGCCCAATTACTTACGCAACCTGACCTGACCAGTCTACACAAGATCCCCGGCCCAAATTGAAACCACAGATCCCGTAATAATCATGTTCTGTTCAAATAATTTGGCTAGGCTGTATGTTTAATGGTCCAGTGTTGAGGATTAAGGAGAATATATTGGCAGAAATGGTTGATAATCACCTGGAACTAAAAATTGTTGTTGTCGTTACCTTAGAATGAGCTGGTGCAGAAGACAAAGCCAACACACTACAACCCTTTTTAGACAGAGGTCAAGCTATAGGGCTGCTACAAAGTCCCTTCATGCTGCCCTTGCATTTTTACACAGAACCAAACTACGTCATTTTGCTCCAGTGGGTAATTTTAGACTGGATCCCAGCAAAGAGGCATGACAATCATGACATGTAACACAGTTGCGTCTGCCTCAAGTGTGACATTAAACATACACGTTGGCACCATTTTAGAAACAGTAACAATCATTTACCATCTCTGTTTTATGATGGCTGATCTCGTCCTCTGCTCAGAGATCAAGGAGCTCCCGAACCTCATTGTTTTCCAAATTTGTGGATATTTTCCGCCGCTGTTCTTCTTCTTTTTTGAGTTAGCTGCTACCAGCTACTTTTTAAATCTCTTGTGGTGGGTCACATACATAACACGTCGTTAAAACATCATACCCGTGCTGCCCATGATCCCAACCTGCTAGTTCTCCCATTAATATAGACATTGATGTGGCACTGTTGCTACCTCCATTCCTGGCTCAGAGGTGAGACAACTCTGTCCCCGCATTCTGCAATCGTACCGCCTTCAGCCGCCTTGAATAGGCAGTGTTAAAGGAGCTTAAGTCAGCAGGAAAACCTGGGAATAAAATTAAGAACATATAGCCGGCGAATAACTCTTGTTGTGGCTCGCCCAGCGGGCACTCGACCCAATGCAGGACTCTGCAACAAAGTTTTTGAACAAAATGTTCTTGAGCAGTTTGTGAAATACCAGAATTTCCCTTTAAGGACGGCTGTTTAATCCCATACCATTCTCTTACTGCACGAGGCCTTCTGTTTGGTATCTGTCAAGTCTCGGATGGTAACGCACACACAGTCTGTATCCAACTCAAGTATTTGATTGTTCTCGTGTTTGTTGAAATCCCTGAAAAAAAAAAAAAAAAAAAAAATGAAATCAAAAGTGGGGAAAACATTTGTTACGTACCACAGCTTAAGTATCTGAAAACAAACTCCCTCAGCCCATGTATGCACATCATGTCCTGTTACTGGCTGCTTCTTGTGTAAAAACTTGAAACAACTCGTAGGTGCAGTGTGTGACAACAGTTGGAGGTCAGTCAAGGCGATGGCTCTGTATTGTCTGTTCATGTCACACCATGCCTTCTTTAACAGTGTTCTTTTTTTTTTTTTTTTTTTCATCTGGTTAATTTAAATGTTCTCCAGAACGGTCACCTCAAAATGTTGTAAACGTTTATCTCTTATCATAAATAATGTATTTATTGTATAGTTCTTGTCTTCACATCGTTGTCTCATGACTGATCAGTGGCTGGTTTTGTTGTTTTTAATGTCTCCTGAAAGACAAAAGCATTTTGGTTCACATGAAAGTTTCACTATCTGCTTTTCTTTGTAGCCCTCGTCACCTGCTTATCTGCTGTTAAATGTAATTACATGGTTAAAGAGTCCCACAGATACCTCCTCTTTATTTTCTCAACATGGTTAGGGGAACTGAGCTCTATGTGCCATATGATAATGATCCAATCTAAAGCCCCTCTGTGGGATTACTGGGCTGATCCAAATGATAAAGTGTACATTTGTGTATTTTTAGGAGAAGTTGACTGAAAACCAGCAGTTACTGGAGCAGACATGGATGTTAACGGCTCTGCTTCAGACACGGTGTACCCAAACAAAAACACAGGCTGAGATTTACACAATTTAAACTCCTGCGAATATTTTTTTTTAAGGGAAAATGTCTGACTTACTTTTGTTTTCACTGAAATCACAAATTGGATTGTTAGTCATGTAGATCCAGTTCCAGGATCACCAATTAGATTTTGGATATTTACAACATCTATAAAAGCTAAATGAGAGGACAGATGCTGGATAGCGTGACCTGTTCTAGCTTTTTCGGTCTTTAAAATGATGACGCCTGAGTTAAACGTTTATTATCTCGTGACTGGCTGTTCTGGCCTGATTAGTTCAGTTTAGTGGGGAACCAAACCACCACGCGCTGGTTGACTTGCACATTAGAAACCACCTGCATCACCATCATCACGCCGTTCGTGATCACATTAACAGGCCTGCTGGGTTTTGTCTTTGGTTTAAAGACCGGAGGGTCCGTGTTCACTGAATCCCTGTCAGCTCCAGACTGTGACCTTTGACCCCCCCGTAGAAGGAGCCAGTTTTGGGTTGTAATAGGACAGATATCAAGAAGGGATAGGAAGAAAGAAAAGGGGAATGTAGCCAGGTCATGTGAAACTCTCAAACTCTCATAGCCGTTGCCGCCGCAGTGAAAAATCAAACACGCTCCAAAAGCTCCAATTCTGAAATAGGATCAACAGATGTGTCGCATAACATCTCATCACGTTCCATTAAAAGTTAAAATATCAACATATATTTTGCCTTGTAAGAAATTATTTTACAGAAATTAGTTTGTGTCAGTTCATGGTTTTCTGTCTTAAGTCATGACGGGCTGGTTTCACAGACTATAGGAGAATTACAGCTCCTGGATATTCAGACACTTCACTGCAACTTCTGTGTTCTTGTTATTCCCACTTACAGTAGTTTACAAAATGGTATCTTCTGTTTCTGCAAAACAAGAGGGTGTCACAGCGGCTGCCTGAATTCAAATAAACACAAGAACATTAAAACAGATATCTGCGTGAGTGCAGAATCTGTAGGCGACGGGACGAGACAGTATCCGCATTGTTTAGGTTTCCATTTGTAGTATTGACCCATCACACTTGAGCACTTGGCTCTGTCTGCATAAGAGTCTGAAATTGCTAATCAGACTGTAAAAAAAAAAAAAAAAAAAGTTGCACAGAACAGAAAGTCTTTGCCCCGATTCCATGGATGTATAAAGAGAACCGGAGACAGCATTGGAAGCTGGGCCCCATTAGTTCCTAAGAAAGTGCTCATACCCCTTTTTCACGGACATGGGACTGGTTCTGTTCCGGTTCTCACACCTAATTTTGAGCCGTTTAGTGCACATCCACCATATATCAACTGGTTCAGAACCCTAAAGGTTGGCTCTCAGCTTGAAACTAAAAATAGCTGTTTTTTCTTGACCCAAAGTGCGAGCCGCGACGACATCAGTGGGTGTGTCATATTCTAATATTTTGAAAGAGAGGATGGAGAAGTCAAGTGAGAAATCATCAGATAAAAGCTTGTGCAGTCTCATCAATAGTTGGTCCTGCTTGTTTTTTGGGTAAACACAAATATCTGTAATAACGGAACCAAAATTTGCAGGTAATCAGTGCAATCTGCGATTTTGCCACAACCGTTTATTTCCATAGTGTATTGTGCAACGCCCTTCATTGGTGATGATGGTTCTGCGCAACACTGGCGAAAACACAGGCTGGTTCCCTCGATAGAACCAAGGTTCCAAGTATTCTGAAAGGGACCAGGGAAAAGGGGTATTGGTGCATGAAGCCAAAAATATTTGACATCTGGGTATAATGTTACACAGATTTTCCACCTCTGTGGCGCCCATATAACCAGCACACTAGTGTTTCCCTTAACCCTGCCTCCCAACCGCCCGTCGCCTTGACAGGATTGACGATTCATGTCAACTGTGGATTTGGCTGTTGTTGAATTTTACAACTTTTGGGACATTGTTATTTAAATAAGGGCTATTTAAGTGTTCATACAGGGAAGTTGGTGTACCTTCATCTGCTTATTTTAAGACATCTCTTTCACAATGTAAGTCTATGGGAAAGTCTTTTTTGGCCCAGCAGCATCACGTGACATACCTGGAAGTTGTAATTGGCTTTAAGGCCCATTGCTGGTCCTGTTTCCAGTTCTCTTTTACATCCATGTGCAATATTAGTTTTGCAGATGTTTGTTGGCTTCACTGAAAACTCTGAAATATTGGTTGTTGCCCCCAGAGGCTAAATCGCTAATATAGTCAACAATGCTAAAGATGTTTTGAGACTCAAAAGTAAGTCGCTTCACGGGGACTATCGTGATGGTAAGGTGGCCACCATGTTTCACTAAATGAGCGGCACCACTGACGTTAGCTAGCTCCCGCCCAGCGCGAGTGTTGTGCAGTACAAAGTGGAGGCGGCGGCTAGCTTCTCGGTGGAGACTGTAATTGTCAGACCAATTGCTGATGGGTTACCTGTTTGATAAAAATGTAATCAAACTACTTTGACATTTGTTTTACTCATAAATTATTTTATTTTGTTAGTTTCTTTGTACCTGTTTGTTCTCAAGAGGCGTGAGAAACTAACATTTAAACCAGTCTCAGATTTGATTATTTGTTAGAGAACAGCAGCACGACCTTTACAGTTAATTATCAAATATGTTTTTTGACTATCTGTGAGCTGGAAAATAAAGATTAGACTCAGATGATTGCAGGTTTGGATCACTGAATGAGAACGTGACCACCTCCACCTAATTCATGTCTGTGAAACCAACCAGCTCAACATTACAGACGTAGGGCAAGTTAAATCTGTGTTCACAGCTCCCGTACTGGCCTTGCTGAACCAAGTGCAATGTCATCCACGAGGATGTTGTTCTTAAAGGCGGAGAAAAGACAATAAGTGGCTGCTCCTGAAGTCAGACACCTGGTCATTACTAAGTAAGTTATGTGGTGGGGTTTTTATCTTTTTTTCTTTCTTTTATTTTCTTATTTGTAACTATAGCTCTCTGTATTCCCATGTGGACCAATCTCATGAGTCAAGACATGGTATGTGTGATCTTTTATTGTGCAATAAAAGATGACTTTCAACTTTCTTTTGTCCTCGGTGAGTGCTTCATTGATTGTGTCTGAAATCGCTGCTGTGATTTATTAATCTTGTGTTGATTTTCAGGTGTGTTGACTGTGGTGACTCTGACGTGGTCTGGCAGCCCGTTCTGTCTGTTGCTCTGCTCTCTGCACAGTGCATGCTGGTAAAGACTGCTGCGACCCTGAAATGCTGAAAGGATTGAGCAGGTAGAGAAAAAGAAACCACTAAACATGTTTAGACCTGTTTCATGTCTCACACTGAGGGACAGTGCAGTATGAAGATACTCATATCCAAACTTGCAATGTCTCTAAGTCAGCTATCTACCAATACAACTGTGTGAAAATATTCAATTAGAGTTCTGTTTTCAACATTTGACTTGAGTAAAAGCACTCATTATATTACTGGAAATATATTATTGGACTATAATTACTGATGCATTTAAGTATCATGTCAAAGTTCCTGGGACACTTGAGAAACTGAACGTTGGTAAGAACGTTGTCAGTCAAGGTGGAGAAAAAACTCCACAGAAGTTTTGTCAAACGCTCTGCAGCCAACCAAATGTAAGTAAAAGCTCGTGACTCTGGTTGATGTCCTGCTGGAGTTTGAGAAGAAATGTCATTGTGACTAATGATCACAATCAAATGCAAATAACCCAAACTAGAGCCAGTGTTTGGTTTGTCCTTTCTGGGGTACTGTAGAAACATGGCAGCCTTTGTGGGAGAGGACAAGAGGAACTGCTCCACTTCTACTAAACAGTAAATATTGTGAGTGCACAAGTGCATTCATACTGCACAGTACAGGAGAATTCAGTGTTCTACTGATGCATTCAAAAGGTCCAAAAGTTCAGTGTGAAATGACAGACACTTCTCACCCTCAACAGTAGCTAGCTTTGTGACGTAGGAAATTTCTCAACTTTTGACATGGTGGCTGGGGTCAACAGGGAGCCTGTGTTTTTTGCACTAAGTACCAAAACTGATGTAGAATAGAAGCTGTCAGTAATGTTGTTGGGTCTGTAATGATTTGGTACCGCGAATAATAATGTGAGTGCTAATGTTAGCACCCTGGTAGGTAAGTGGCTTAATTTTGTACAGCGAAATCATTTCAGTGTTATTATGTTAGCACCGTTAACAGCCTTAGCACAGCTAGTGGTGCTAATATAGTTAACAATGCTAAAGAGGTTTTGAGGCTCAAAATTAAGTTGCTTACTCACTGGGGCTGTCATGGGGGAGACCGGAGGATGGCCACCATGTTTCTGCAGCAGTGCTGTCTGCCAACAAGGGTTGGGGTGGTGTTACCAGCGGTAGTTACTATTCACAATTAGCGGTAACGCTAACGTTAGCTAGCTCCCACCTAGCCCAGGTGTTGCACAGTGTAAGTGGTGGTGGCAGCTAGCCTACCAGTGGAGACCATGAGGTGAGCAGCATAAAGTGACAGGTAAGACATTTACAACACAAAATAATTAAATCTAAATGGAAAGCACTTTGAAATATGGTGGATTTTGCTTTTTGTTTTGTTTTGTTTTTTGGCTCGTAAAAAATAACTGATTAGTTGTCAGTTAATGATCAGAGGTGTCCAAACAGTTGAAAATGGGTACCAGATTAGATAATGTGAAAATACCCGGGGGCCAGCTGCCCCTTGCATCATACAAGTCTTTGAAAAAAAAAAAACATACAAATTAGTTGTAAATGAAAAGTATTCTACTCTCCACTGCTCCTGAAAGCGTTGGCCCTCGCTGTGCTTCTTTGCTGTGGCCATGTCTGCTTCTTAACAGGAAGTATCAGGTGTTAGGTAATTGCTTGTTTGCTTGTTTTTTTGTCATCTGTTATGAAAGCACATTAGTTCTGTATGCGTAGTTCCTACTTGGTGCATGTCGACAAATTGTATGATAGATAGCGTTTGCTTGACTAATAACTAATATTACTTGGTGTACCACATGTAATATATTTTGAAAGACAAGCTGCGAGCTGCTTAAAATCTGTGCGAGGACCACGATTGGCCCTCTGCCTGGACTCTGGACATACCTGGGTTAAGTGGCTATCAAAAGCAAAAAAAAAAAGAAAATGAAATTATTATACTGGACCTTTAAGTTAAAACAGGAGTGACCGGATCTGTGGGTTAAAACTTTGGTTCTCTGGTAGTTTTTAGACGTTAAGGTCACATGCAACTATTGTCAAACAGCATTTCTATGATATTTAAATCTGTACTTGACCCTGTTTACATTAAAATATACTTATTGACATGTAAATGCAGCTGAAAAAACAGCGTTTATGAAATCTAGATATCTTAACAACAGTGTTACCTTTCAGACACCTGAACATATTTATCAACGTCCAGAAAGAGGAAAAAGCACAATGACAAATCAGTAAGAGGAGAAAATATTTTACTCCTCTGCTGTCAAATCCACAATCTTAATGTCACACGTATGCAATGTTAGAAATTCGGCACTTTTAAAAGAAGGCAGGATTCTTTCTGCACTGAACACAAGTCTGCAAATACTTACGCAGTTGGTAAAAATCTGTGGCCTGGGCTAAATGAAATTGTGTAGCATGTCTGCAGCAGCAAAATATACATTTATTGAAACATACATTCATGTCATGGAATAAAATCCCATTTAGTCATGGAAATACTGATAAATATACAACTGACAAAAGCTAGCCAATGAACAGAGGAGATCTTTTATCTGCTCTGGAAAAAGAAGGAATTCCCACATCATCATGCTACATTTCTACTGTAGCTTCACTTGTGCAGTGTTAGATAAGACAGGCAGGTTATAAGGCTGGTGAGTTACTGAATATGCATATATTGTGTTAGCCGTCTCCTTTCATGCATACAGCAGGTTTATATCGAAATAAAACAAAAACATGTCAACTAAATGGTTAAAATGTGATTTAAAGGCAAAGTGTGACGTCAGTCTTCGTAGTAACAACTTTTACTGTGCAGGAATTCCTTCTTTCTTTGTGACAAATACAACAAACGCTTGTGAAACACAATATGGAGCAGTGCTGTCTGCATTCACAGCATTTTTAGTTTAAAAGCCATATGGAAAAAGTGACACTTTAATGAGATGATTCAGAGACCAGAGTTTATACAATGACTCTTTATAATGGGGACATACTGACAACTTTACTGCCCAGCATCTCTGTGTTTAGCGTTATGAAGTGACGGCATTCTTATTTTCTTGATCTATTGTTCTGTCTTTTTTCAGAGTTTAATTTTCTACCGAGACCTCGCCGATTTGGAAAAGCCTCCAGGGACACAGCAGGTAACATATCACCAAAATGGCACATTCAGAAACTGATCACTAACTGCACAAAATCATCTTTAATTTAATAATTAATTTTGAATTATATATACTGCAAAACACATCGTTTTGGACCACCTAATAGTTATCTGTAGGTGACACCACACAGGTCATGACTCTGCAGAGTTACTTGAGCACACACACACGTCTTTGAGAACTTACTGAAGAGTATAACTGTTCATATAAAGGTCAGAGAGGTGATCAGGTTTTTATTTCTCAAATCCAAGAGGTTCTGTGCATTTACGATTTTTCTTCCATAATTTACTTCCACTAAAAGTGCTTGTTTTGAAATGAAATGTTTTTCTGTACCTTTCGCTTGTTACAATCTGTTTTGTGTCCAAGTCTCATTAACAAGAAGTCTCGTTCTGATATCTCGCGAGACTTGTTCCATGAAGAAAATGGTGGAAACATGAGTGAGAGTTGGAGAGAGGAGTGCAGCTTATAGATTGTTGTGTTGGAGTACAGAAAGTGTATCTTAAGGCCTGTTCACACTGAGCCCGTTTTTGTTTTTGTATGCATTTTTTGAATCTGTCAATGTGTCCCACTGCCACATTTTCTTCACTGATTCTTGGTCAATCGTCTCTAAAGGCTCTGATGGATGTGAAAAACACAAAAACTCTACCCTATTCCGAAAATTTCAATGACAGACAAAAGTTTCGGACTGTGTGCAAACATGATTGACACAACATGAGGTCGTATTTACTTTTAGACCTGTGACAATTTTGGACAATAAAAAGGGACTCCGCATGCAAAGGCCTTTACTCTTAGCCAAAAGATTCCTAATGTCACAACCAAATATTTAGCTGATTTCAACAACATGAAGAGGTCTGTGAGATTTTAGTGTGTGACTTCTTCTTTAGCGAAACTTGGACACCAAACAGACCAGAACACGCAAAAGGTCCAGAAAAACATTTCCTTTCTCTAAAGGGTCTTTTCCATAATTTTGTCAGATACTTATAATGACAATCTGAGCCCGTCAGTGGCAAAAACAAGCACTTACTGTGGACGTAAATAACAGGTCGCACCCGCCACTAGTGTTTCCACTGTAGCCTGTTTAGCCGGCTATAGCAATCTCTTTCAATACTGGATCAAATTTGAACAACTCTTGTTCCCACGAGCCACTCAGGCTGCTTTCAGACCTAGAGTGGTCTCCTTTGGTCTGAATCAGGGACTCATGTTGTTCCAAAGTTGTATAATTGCCTAGAGTTGGTTCGTGTTCTCACGGCAGCATTTACAAGAGGACCAGATCAAATGCCTTGTGTGAGAAAGCTGCTCTTGATTGGTCAGAATTTCCAAGTGGGAAAAATCCAGGAAGTAAAGCAAACGTTGAAGAAGAGTACACTTGCAAGATAAATGTGACACTTTCTAATGTCACAATGGAGGGACAACTACGCAGGTTGATTTTAGCGCTGCTCATCGTGGACTATATTGCTGTCATTGTTCATTTTAGTCAAACCATACAGTTTGAAAACGAGGCGCGGCTCCAACTAGAAAACAATGTTTTGATGCATTGGATGTGCTGAATGTGCATATTAAGGCAGTACAGGAGGAGGTGCACATTAATAATCCTCCAGGACTGTAACATGCTCATGTTTAACCCAAACAATGTGTCATGTGACTGCAGTTGCTTCACATCCAGGTCGGAACACCTTCTCACCACAAACGAACCGCACCAGAGTTCATTTGGAACCAGACCGAGACCACCTCTTCAAGAAGGTCTCGGTCCGGTTGTTTTGGTGCACACCTGAGTGTGATTGCTGTGTTCACACCTGCCCAAATGAACCACACTGAGGGGGCAAATGAACTTGAGTTTGATTGAACTGAACCAAACAGGGCAGGTGTGAAAGCAGCCTCAGACACAAATAAATGGGAAAATAAGGTCCAGGTTGAAAAATACAGGTGTTCCCCTTCAACGACGCACAACGCATTTTGGTGAGAAACACTATATGGAAACAAAAATTTAGTTTAAAGGGAAAAATTCCACACATCACCTTTAATCTCATAGTTTGTTGGACTATTTGGAGGATTTTTTGGTACCTTGTTTTAGATTTCTTTGTTAAATTTTGCATCTTAACTTTTGAGAACCTCATCCAGATTTCAGACTTTTGGAATTCACAAGAAACGTTCAATTACTGAATGTCCAGAAGACATTTGCTGATTGATTAAAATTCTGTTTAACTCTTCGATGTTCTTGTAAATAAACGCTGGGTGTGTTCAAGAAGGGACAGTCATTTTAGCGGCTGCCACTCGGTTGCAGCATTTCTTGGATGGGGAAATTTGACTCATTGGTCACATGCATCACAATGTAAGAATTTCTTAGTCATAATGTCGACTTATTTGTTTATTTTTCCAGTAAACAAATCGCTGGTGAATGGCAGTGCGTGTTAATAAAGATTGTACGGGCTGATTGGAAACAATGACTTGGCTCTGAGATTACAACGCTCCCGCTGATGTCAGCTGACTGATATTCCAACATGTGTCAGGTGTGGTGGCGAGCTGGGTGTCCGTATCATCCTCAGGGATCCTGGTGCTCTCTGGCGTCGCCGTCTGTGGTTCCGTTGAGCGAGTTGCCAGCGTTGTCGTTGGCCAGCAGCCGTAGTCGTTTTCTTTCCCTCTTCCTTCCAAGTCCTCCTTTTTTATTCTTTCTTCTTTCTGACGGATGAAATCCAAAGTTAAAACAGTGAATAGTACAAACATTTGTGTTTCAGCCTGCAGTTTATGTTGTCAGGCCTTTCCCCGTCGCACATCTCTATTAGGTCCAACTGCATATTTTGTTTTATCATTCATAAACAGCCTCACCTCAAGTGCTCGTGTAGAATAAGCACCGTAATGCTGCTGCCGCCTTCCTTTAGTATCATTTACATATGAATAAGCCTGACTGAGTGAGACACTTTAATCCAGCATCACTAGATTCTATTGTATCCTCTGTTAATTGTAAAGCATCCCAGACATATTGCATACAATGGAAATATACACTGATCCCACTATAACCCTGTGTTGGTGGTTTGGTTACAACGTTTAAGTTTTGTCTGTGTTACATAACAATTGTTTCAACAGCCTCCTATTGACTCAGTGATGCAGGATCTAACTATGCATTGAAATGTATTATTGACAGTGTTGGGGAAGCTTCTTTTAAGGCATAGCTTTGCACGCTGCCAATAACTTCACACTGAAAGAAGACAAAGAAATTCAAACTACTTCAAAAATGTTCAAATAGACAATGTACAAAGTCACAGGCCATAAACTGCCACTCAACTGAGTTTATTGCAGAAAGAGCCCACTTGTTTTTGTGAAGAAGTGGGCTCTTTCTGCAATAAACTCAAAAATAAAACACACCACGATTTATTAAAAAGTGCAGGAATGACAGATTTGGTTTTCTATCCACTGTTTGTCAGTCAGACACATGCCGTCCACAAACTAGAGTCCAGGTTGGAGTATTGCACCAAGCAGAATCACTCAGCAAGCCAAGTAAATTCTTCAATAGCATGCAACAGCTCCTCTAAACATTTGTCAATGAATTATGAGTCATTGAGGCCAGAGGGGATTGAATTAGTTGAGAAGTAATGGTCAGAATAATTCCTTTCCTTTTATGGCCCAATGGTTTGTAGGTTCAGTAGTTAACTACACAAAAATGTCCCCCAAAAAGTAATTTAATTACTTAAATCACAAAAATATGAATGTAGAAGTTTTCTGTCATGAGACCAGTAAAAGTTACTTTATAATCAGATTTAGTTTGAACCTGCACCTTCATCAATTCAAACCACTAAATCAGTGCTCACTGTGAAGTTTCTTCATTGACTTTAGATTTAAAGGATAAGTTCACAGTATTTTAAAGTCAAACCTCCTAAGGAAATATGAACTATAGTAATCCTGCAGTTACAGTACAGTTTTTTTTTGTTTGTTTTTTTTAAAGAGGACAAAGTTTTTGGAAGTATTTGTGGAAGCTGTGTCAAATGCCAAGTTGTAATTACAACCTAGATGTTGATGTGAACACCATTTACAAGCTGGAGCTACATCAATACAACATAAACTGTCAGCCGTAGCCCTCGGGGTGCATGTTTCCCATCGCAGCGGTTGACTGATAGCAAGCTAGCAACCTAGGTTACCCATGATTCAAATTACGACAGAGGGGAGCATAGCCAGTGCTCAATTTACAGCAACTAAATCAGCAGGAAAAGTGTTGGCATTGTATGTTTCTGCAAACCACCAGTAAGCTGCATTTGCACATTATTCGGATGTGTTGAAACTTTATGTTTCAACAACGCTGTGGTTAATGTGCGGTTATGTTTAGGCACAAAAACCACTTGGTTATGGTTTGGAAAAGATCACGTTTTGGAACAAATGACCTGGCTTTGGGGGCACAGTCCTGGCAGGAAACACAGCAAAGTCTCAGTAAAAAAAACCCACTGCTATTGGTGGCACTGTCCCCGATGTCCAGAGGCTATAAAGCTGCTGAAAACACAGTGATTACTGGCTAAAAAAAACAACATCCATTTTTTAGCTTCTTGGTCTCGAACAGTGGTCTGCAGCTTGGCAGGCACCTCACCTACGTGACACGCCATCCACCATCCCCTCCACCTCCAGATGACAAAGTCAGCTCGTACACGCTGATATGATTCTTATTAAACGTACAAATGTTATGTATTCGTGGTTTTGCAGAAACATACAGTGCCGACATTTTCTCCTGGCCACTTGGCTGTAAGAATAAAGTGATGTAACAGAACGATTGCATCATTCAGATATTAGTGGTACCAAAAATTAGCCTAACAAACAATAGGAGCTGCTGTCATGGCAGAAAAATAAATAAAACTTCACTTCTTTCTTCTTCTTTGGTACAATTTTAACCAAATAATTACACAAGTCAAAAAACACTGCAACAATTAATACTGATAAGCAGACATTAAATTAAATTTCAGTTTAAATGTAAACCTTTTTCACTGTTTTAAGATAGAGTTTAAAATCTGAAACTATGCCCCAACATGGATTAGAAGTGTATCTTCTTCTTGCATGCAGAGTATTGGAGGCAGAATAAACGTTTATGTTGCGAAAACCGTTAAAACCAGAATGAAAGCCCATCCATTAAGGGACCTGGGTATCTCACACTGTGCTACACTAGATCAGAGTTCACCTCACAGGCCTTAAATCCCCATAAAACTGTCTTGACTTGGTCAAACAGAAATGTGTGTGCTTTAAGCACCAGGGGCTACCAGATTCCCCTTGTGTAACAGCAGACCTGAGAATTCAAACAGCTGGTCTGCACCTTACTTTTCACATCACAAGGTTACATGTTTGGCAGCATCACACATGAGAAATGTTGGTGTCAGTTCCTCTGACTCCATCAAGTGTTCATATTTCATCAAAAGATTGCGAAAAATGTGCAAAATTGTAGAAAAGCATTTGCTAAAATGGAGGCTAAGTACTTTGTTCATGCGCTGCAAATGTTATTCAGGTGTTGGGAGCCTCAGGTTTTGGTCCAGGATAATTACTGTGAAGGATTATGTAAACTGATGCGCTGTGTTCTGCTGGTTGATGCTCTGTGCTGAGTCCAGATCTGACAAGTGTCAGTGAAATATTTTCTGTGATGTATCACTGCTTTCAGACGGGAATTTTGGCCACAAGTTTACAAAAAGAGATCTGATGTGTTCTCTGATGCAGACACTCAAATAGATCAGATTTTATGTCATATTTAAAAGCCTGACAAATTCAGATCTAACCTTCAGTGGGTTCAAACTCAATGAATAGATGTTTTGATATTTCACAATACATCATGACATATCAGGTTCAAACTTATCCGTACATCTCATATAGCTGTCCGGTGCTATTACAGCGGGGTTTAGCCTGGATAGAAAATGTGGTTTTGATGTTCAGCGATGAAGAAGAGTGCTTCAGTATTTTTGGCTCTGGTTTGAAAGTGGAATCATTTTCTGTAATATACAGCGCTGAGGTTGATTTAGAGGTTGGTTGGACATCAGAGAGTAAAAATAAATGCAGGCAGAAAGGCAGGAAAGACAGACGGAAGGAAGCCAACCTAAAACTTTACCTCTAGCTCTTCTAATTAGAGTCCACAAATAATCTTCTGGTTTATCTGCCAGTGGTTACCATATACAGTGTTTATACATATATGCATGTATACATATATATATATAGTACAAAAATCCACAGAGAGGGCCGAAGCAAACCAAGAACCAGAAATATTGCACTTGCACAATGCCCTTATATTTTATAGCCAGATTAATTGCCATGACATTGAAAGCAGTTTTGTACTTAAAAATTAAAGGGACTGCGTTTATGTGGTGAGACAATGAAACCAGATCTAGAGAGTCCAGTGTGGGTAACAGATCCAAGAGTTGGAAGTCACAGCTTTTCATATTGTTCTTATAAAGAAGGGTTTTCTAACTCCGTAAAATGACCAGGTTATCTCTGTGGCAATGTAGAAATACGTTGTTAAAGTGGCAACCAAGCAGCAGACCCCCGTTAAGGCCCTGACACACCAAGCCAGCAGTCAGCCGTCAGTAAATGTTGGGCCGCTGGTCGGCATTTGGGACCCTCGTCAATATGGTGTGTCGGCTCTCCTTGGCGCTGGTCAGCTTTTTTCCGCCAATTCAGCATGTTGAATCAGCATCAGCAGAGATTTATTTCCTCTTACACAAGCGCAGAACGTACTGTATGTGCTGGTTGGCTGTTGGTTGAGATCTTTGCATTGTGTTCATGTGAAACTTTTTGGCTGAGACACAGGTGATCTGAGGCGACGCAGCTGGAGACTTTCATTGCTGCTGGTTCTCTGAATTCAGTTTGGTGTGTCTGGGTCTTTGGAGACCAATGAACAACAGCATCAGCTGCATTTTAGCGAGTCATTGCGGCATTTCAAACTGCGATTGTGTCACCAAAACCAGGTAATATAAGCCAAAACACAATCTCTTCCCAACTATAACCAAGTGTTTTTTATCTAAAGTTTTAACATCTGCTACATGATAGTGTATAATATAACTTATCTGTATAATTATCAAAGTTAAATGGACTTAGTTTAGAGTTATTTTGTCACTATTAACAGGTGTTTGTTTACATAAGAACAAACCATATTTATGAAGTGTTATTGAAGGAGATTGACTACTCTTGTGGTACTACCACCTTATAAGACACATATTGAGCAAAGCATTACTTCCTTTCAATAAGCAGTAATTAGGAGGTTATTGAGAGGAAACTCATAGCTAGTGGAGCTAGTAGTTGTAGAGTATGGCTTTGCAGAATGAGGCATCAACCAGTGCTTTATAATGATTAATACAGAGCCAGCACTGTGCTAATATCCATCCATCCCTCTTCAACTGCTTATCCAAAGCCAGGTCGTGGGGACAGCAGGTTAAGTAAAGTATTTCAGGCATCCCTCTCCCCAGCAATGCTTTCCATCTCCCCGAGGCGTTCCCAGGCCATATAAGATGTGTAATCCCTGCAGTGTATTCTGGGTCTGCCCCCGGCGCCTCCTACTAGCCCCCTCCAAGAATCGCCACCTTAATGTGATGGAGGGGTTTGCGTGTCCTTGTGATCCTGGGAGCTTTGTCATCTGGGGCTAATAGCCCCTGGTAGGGTCTCCCAAGGCAAAGTGGTCCCAGGGGAGGGGCCAGACTAAGAGTGGTTCAAGAAGACCACAATGAAAC